ATGCCTGCCCTGCTGGGTTTCAGACTTGTTCAGGGCCTGTTACCTCATTCTTTTGGCCTATTTCTCGTTTTTCAAATGGAAATACATACCCTGTGTTTGCCCACCATTGTATCTTGGAAGTAGATAACTTGTTTTGATTTCACAGATGGGACTTTGAACTCTGGACTTTTGAGTTGGAACAAGTTACGACTTTGGGGATGGAATGACTGTATTTACCATTGAGAAGGACATGAACTTTGGGGGCCAGAGGCAGAACGCTGTGGATTGATTGAATTGTGTCCCCCAAAGTTCATATATTAAAAGCATAATTCCCACTGTAACTTCAGTATAGGAAATCCTATTATGGTAATTGAAAGGTGAGGTCTTGGAGAGGTGATTGGATTGTGAGGACTGCACCCTTGTGAGTGGATTGATCCATTTCAGAATAGTGATTCTGAGGGCTTTAAAAGGAGAGTGTATGAGGAACCATCTCTCCCTCTTCTGCTGTGCCATTTTCTGCCATCTGGCACCCCCCGCATTGCTGTAAAGCCACCACCAAAGAAGACGTTCACTCAAGTATTCCCTGGACTGTGTACTTCTCAGTCTCCAAAACTGTAAGCAATAAATTTTGCTTTCTTATAAATTACCCAGTTCCTGGGCCGGCCTGTGGCTCACTCGGGAGAGTGCGGTGCTGATAACACCAAGGCCACGGGTTCGGATCCCATGTAGGGATGGCTGGTTCGCTCACTGGGTGAGCATGGTGCTGACAACACCAAATCAAGGGTTAAGATCCCCTTACTGGTCATCTTTTAAAAAAAATAAAAAATAAAAAATAAATCACCCAGTTCCGTGGGTATAAACAACAGAAATGGACTAATATAACAGATGTTTAAGATTTTGGATAAGTAGGGGCTGGCCTGTGGCTCACTCGGGAGAGTGCGGTGCTGATAAAACCAAGGCCAAGGGTTCGGATCCCATATAGGGATGGCCGATTTGCTCACTGGGTGAGCGTGGTGCTGACAACACCAAGTCGAGGGTTAAGATCCCCTTACCGGTCATCTTTTTTTTAAAAAAAAAAAAAGATTTTGGATAAGTAATGAATAAATGAATTAAAGAAGAAATTCCACCCCCTCATAGGCACATAGCAGGCCTTAGCTCAGAAGGTACTCTGTAAGTGTCAAACGCATAAATGAAGAAATTAGGGATTCCAGTGCAGAAGGATTAGAGAAATGCAGAAGGATTGACTGTGACTGGAGGTCTTATTCAGTGTGGAGCTTTTATTCCTTCACGATGAAGGTTGAGAATAAATGAATCTGAAGGGATGGCCCTAGAGTAATTCAGCAAATAGCAGAGAGATGGGGCTGAAACTGAGGTCTGAATGATCCTTTAGGCATCACAACTGGGGGTATTTCACCCCTTCCTGACCTAGGCCTCGCTTCAGCTGGAAAAATGCCTCTTCACCACTGTGAACATGGCTGGCTGGCACTGGACTCTATTCTCTCCCCCACGTTCCCAAGCAGAGGTTCCATAAGTGCACTGGGCCCAACAAATGATTTGTGTGACAAATTTTCCCATGGATGGTACATAATAGTAATATTCTAGATGCATAAGAAGGAGTTAATTTATGACATACAACTGATGCCTTGTGACATAGGGGCTTAATTCTCATGGAATGCCAGTTGAGAAGAGCTGGAATAAATACTTTGCCTCAACTGAAAGTAGTCCTCTGGTCTGAACAGAAAAGTCTTTCACACTGTTCTCAGCCAAATCACGTCCCCTTCTTCCTCAAAACTTTGGCTAATAATTACTGCCTCCTGGAAATATTTTTCTTACTGCCATGATTCCACCCCAGATCCAGTGTGGTGGGGGTCTCTGATTGAGAGATGAGAGGAAGTAGGGAAGGCTTGGATTCAAACAGACCTCGTTCAAATCCTAGCTCTGCTGCTTACCAGCAGCATGACTTGAGGCTTCAGCATTATCTTTTGTAAAATGAAGATTAAAAGAGATAAAGCATTTGGTTCAGAGCTTGATGCACAGAAGGCTGTTTCAGTTATCTATTATTATGTAACAATCCACTTCAAAATCGAGTGGCTTCAAACAACAGCAACCATTTATTTGCTCGTGATTTTATAATTGGGCAGGGCTCTGCAGAGCTCCTGTCTGCCTGATAAGGTGTTGATTGGTCTTGACTGGGGCTGAAGGGTCCGAGGTAGCTACGTGTGTCTAGGGCCAGAGCTAGCTGTCAGCTGGGATGTTGGTTGTCCTCCATGGGGCCTCTTCATAAATCAGTAACCTAGCCTGAAATTCTTTACATGGGAGCTGACTTCCAAGAGCAAAAGCAGAAAAGACTGGCTAGAGCACAGCCTGGTAACACCAAGGTCAAAGGCCTGTATGCCTGTACCCAGCCAGCCACCAAAAAAAAAAGAAGGAAAAAGAAACCACTAGCTCTCTTAAGGATAAAAGCTGGTGTAGCATGACCTCTGCTACATTCTTTTAGTCAAAGCAAGTCACATGATTCAAGGGAACGGGAACTAGACTCCAGCTCTTGATGGGAAGAGCATTATGCCCATACAAAGATGCATGGGAAGAATTGTTGCTGTCCTTTGCACATTCCATCACAGAATGCCTTCAGTATCTGATTTGCTGTAAGAATGAAAACAAACATAGGTGAGGGAACCTTATCTTTATTCTTTCCCCAGGACTCTGCTCCAATTTCTTATCATCCCAGCCCTCAGGTCTTAGGGTTCTGTCTTGATTAGCTATGTATATATTTATGTGTCCTGCTGTTTGCCTGTTTGTGATCATGTGCATCCTATTATCCCAAATGATACTAGAAAGCCCACAGAAGAAGAGAGTAAGTCTTCAGCATCTCTTTCCAGCAACTAGTACTGTATAGAGTTTGAATTCAGTTCTGTCACAGAATGTCTAGGGAAAAGGACATTGTTAGAAACCTCTATGGAAGGGAATGTGGACATGGGAAGAGAAAGAGGAGTCTTAGGGTCCTGAGATTCCATACAGTCTAGCTGAAGGATTCCAACTTTCTAAGTGATTTTCCCATATAGAAAGGCTCAAATAGATGGACACTTATGCACTGAAGATCCACACATTTATTTAGATTAGTCCAAACCAGACATTGTGCTGAAGCTCCTTAACATAATCTTGCCATAGCCGGGCTTCCTGGAGACACTGAAAAGAGAGGGTATGTTGTGGCTATAACAGCAAACAGCCAGAGCACATCTAGGAAGCTGAGACAATCCCTCCTCATGGTTCCCGGCCCTGTGCTATGAATTCACTACTCACCCTGCTTCACTGCTGAGCACTGGCTGTGAGAGAGGGGAAAGGGCAACTAACAGTAACGCAACATGACATTAACACCAAGAGGGGGTTGAGGGATGCAGAGAGAGCTCTCCTGAGGAGAAATCTGTACTTTTAACGCATCCCTTAGGGTTTTCATTTGCTGCATATCAATGATAGGTTTAAATAAATGACTTATGGGATCGAATTCATTCTCAATTTTCATCAGCCAGGAGCTGCAAGTCAGAGGGGACATTGGGAACTAGTTCTCTTTAATTCTCTCACAAGCTTTTTTTCACCTTACTCATCAGTTTGCATACAGCATTTCTACTGCGTATGATTTAGAATTTGACGGAGCTATCAAATTCTACATGATGATCTGAGTTGCCTTTTGCCAGTAATGTGCTGCTTGAGAATCACAAATCACATGTTAAGTTATTGTTGACATATAATGAAAATAGTGAATTTCTTCTCTTGGACAGGAAGGAATGCATAAACTTCAAGGCAAAATACAAACAAAACAATCTGTTTCTTATCATGCTTTTGATACTGAGGTAGAAACACTTAATTGACAGGAGCCTCTCCTCTGTCCTTACCCACCCTGCTACCATGTTGTGGTGGTGACTCTTGTCAATTCCTCCACTCTTAATGTCCCTTGACATCTTTTCTTTTCTTTTCTTTTTTTTTTAAAAGATGACTGGTAAGGGGATCTTAACCCTTGACTTGGTGTTGTCAGCACCACGCTCAGCCAGTGAGCAAACCGGCCATCCCTATATGGGATCCAAACCCATGGCCTTGGTGTCATCAGCACCGCACTCTCCCGAGTGAGCCACGGGCCAGCCCTGACATCTTTTCTTACAGTATTTGCCCAGCTCCCCTTGACATAGAAGCCCTTCTTCAGAGGACCATTAGGTTTCATTCCTACTGTCAACTTGAGGAGTACAGATATATAGAAGATGTGACAGAAGGAGATTTTATCTATGTAAATTCCACCACAGGGATGATAGTATTAGCTTTTTTTTTTTTTTTTTTTTGTCCTTTTTGAGACTGGCCGTGCTCAGCCAGTGAGCGCTGTGAGCACACCGGTCATCCCTACACAGGATCCGAACCCGCAGCGGGAGCGCCGCTGCGCTCCCAGCGCCGCACTCTCCCGAGTGCACCACGGGCTCGGCCCATAGTATTAGCTTTTATTTTTATTTTTATTTATTTATTTATTTTTTTTAAAGATGACCGGTAAGGGGATCTTAACCCTTGACTTGGTGTTGTCAGCACCACGCTCTCCCAAGTGAGCTAACTGGCCATCCCTATATGGGATCCGAACCCAGGGCCTTGGTGTTATCAGCACCGCACTCTCCCGAGTGAGCCACGGGCCGGCCCAGTATTAGCTTTTAAAAAAATAGTTAAGGGCCGGCTCCGCGGCGCACTCGGGAGAATGCAGCGCTGCGCTCCCGCCGCGGGTTCGGATCCTATATAGGGATGGCCAGTGCACTCACTGGCTGAGTGCAGTGTGGGCGACACCAAGCCAAGGGTTGCGATCCCCTTACCCGTCACACACACACACAAAAAAAAAGTTAAAAAAGAAAGTGATCACCAGTGGGTACATGGTTGAAAGGCTCAGGAATACACATCTGTCCCAGATTCAACAACACTGGCCATAAACATGAAATAATCCATTGAGACACCCTGTCCCTCCTTCCTTACCTTTCTCAGGGTACCATGTCCTCTTAGGTAACCTCAGTGAGGAGCTGCAAGAATTCAGACATTTCTCAATGTTAACATCTCAGAAATCTCTGGGAAACTTTCTTTCAGAGCATTGGTAAGGGACATTTTATTTCAGGTTTTGGAGGGGGCTCACGGTGCTAGTCAGGAAGTCTATACATAGAAAGAATAGACATGTTAAGGGCCCATTCGTTCCCAATTCATGCAACAAACATTTAGAGTTTCTCACAGTGTGCCAGAAACAGGGATAAACACTGGGGGACAAAGGTGAATAAGACACTCTCCCTGCCCTCACAGTGCTATAGTTTAATGGAGAAACAGATCTATAAATAGATAATTATAAAACAATATACTAAATGCAATGAAGAGATATGAATAAGGTGACAGGAATAGATAAATGAATAAATAATTTAAAGAGGTAGAGAGGATGTGTAATATTACCTTTAAATAAACCAGAGAGGAATGTAAAATAAAGCCCAATAAATAGCTGCAGCTTTCCTGGACTGAGTCAAAAGATTGCATAGCTTAAAGAAAACTGATCTGAGTGAGGACAAGTTGACTTGGGCTCTTTCCACCACAGTGCCAGCTCCTTAATTAACCAACACTGGAAATATTGGGTAAACCAGTTACCTCCCTGTGCTTCATGTTTCTCATTTGCAAAATGAAAATAATGATTCTCCCTGTAATACAGAATTGTGATGGAGAGAAATGAGATAGTGTATAATAAAAATGGCTCCTCGAACACATCCTGATGATGACAGTGATGAGGGGCCTGGAAGGGGAAGTCCTTCTCCATCTAGCCTGCCTATTCCACCTGTAGAAAGAGGAGATGGTTGGCACGTGCACAGGCTAGTTCTCCTGCTGCCCTTACCTTTTACATCCACCCGACAGTCCACAGATGCCTCCCCCAGGGAGTTAACTGCCTTACAGGTGTAAATGCCTCCGTCAGAGGGACCAGGCTTGCGGATTTCTAGGGAGCAGATTCCCAGATAAGTGAGGGCTCTGTACTTGGGGTTGCCTTGGATATTCATCTTGTTCTTCAGCCAGATGATTTTGGGCTGGAAGATAAAAGTGAGGGGGCAGCAGTGGGGATGGGGAGTAAGAGCCAATTTTGCTCTTCCTGTGCTCAGTCTCTGGGATTCTCTGCCTACGGGGCTTATAGATAGTGGCTTTCTGGAAGCCTCCTTGTCTCTTATGTTGTGGGAAGGGGTTCCCCTTTCAATACCTTGAACAATTCCCCAAGATCCTTCTCTTGGTTGAAAAGAATACCTGAAGCCCTGCCTTCTTCATCAAGTGTTAATGACTAGAAGAAAGGTGCTAACTTCTTTCCGTCCTGCTCAAGCAGGCCCTCCGTGGATCATAAGAACTGGCCGTCAGAGTCTCTGTTTCTCATGTGTGCATTGTGAATCGTTCATGTTCTATTCCCACTGTTGGCTTGTGAGTCACTCCTGCCCCTCTGGTTCGAAAGTGCTTTCAGGAGTGGGCTGATCGTATGCTCCTTCTGAGATGTTATCTCTACGTAGTCTGCCTGGGACTCACGACCCAAAAGGTACTTGATAACGGTTGTTAATGCTGTTTTGTGCCCTGTGTGGAGTACACGGACTAGAGGCTCAGCTCCAGGCAGCTTGCACATGCATGGCCCTGAGAAGATGAGGTGCGTGTGGGTGAGTAAGAAAACGCCAGCGGGACTCCATCACTCCTGCCAGATAAACAACTTGAAGCTCATGCCCAATTGCTAGCAGTTCAGTAAGTGACATTGCTGTGCGTGAGGAACAAGCACTGAAAGGAAACATCATTCCTATCGGTCTGTCTTGGACTCCATGTGCCCCGACTGTTCCTAAATAACCTGCTTTGAAGAAGCAAGTGGTGGTAATGGAAACAGACATTAGATTAGAATGCTCTGCGACACAGCTGAGATCGGGACAGGGGCAGGAAGCTGCTCAGCACAACCAGCCTCCAGAACTCTTTACTTACCCTGGGAGAGGCGCGGACAGAGCAGAAGAGCTGGGTGTCATAGCCAGCGACTGCAGTACAGTCTGCCAGGGGCTGTGTAAACTTTGGGGCTTCAGAGAAGTCTCGCTGGGCAAACCCCTTGGTCTTGTAAACAGTAGCTGAGGGCATCAAGAGGGGCCATGATGTAGCATCTGAATCCCATCCCTCTTCAACTCTGGAGTCTTTCCAGCTTGTGGTCTACGTGCCTTCCTTACCTGCTTTCCGGATGTGGGCAAGCTCGGTCGTGACAGGGGCCGTTTCACTGAGTCCACACTGGTTTTCAGCAAAGACGCGAAAGGCATAGGAGTTGCCCACGATGAGGTCGGAGACAATGCAGCTGGTGCGGTGACAGCGCTCCAGCACTGTGAACCACAGCTGCGAGGACCCAAGAAGATGCCTAAATGAGACCCCCATTTTCCCAACTTAGCCCACATGGAGCTCCCAGAAACCAATTCCCGAATGCCCTATTCCCCCTCCCCCCATCCCAGCTGGGCCTCACCCCAGATCTCGTGTCTGCCTTCTGCACCGTGTATCCCAGGAGTGTTGTATTGCCCGTATCTTGGGGAGGTGTCCATTCCAAGGTAGCGTTGAAGCCCCAAACATCCACCAACTTAATGCTCTGAGGAGGGCCTGGCCTCTCTGAAAGGGCAAGGCCATGGCAGTGGGCACAGACAATCCATATGTATTGAAGTCTCTTCAGGAGTGCCCCTGCCCCTTTCTTGCCCAGCTGCCCCTCCCCTCACCCCTCACTGTGTCTCAGCTTCCCCAGCTCTCAGAGACATGGTTCCTCTGCAGCCTGGAGAGGGAGTTCCTGAGGACCTCCTCTTCTCCCACTCGCCCCACTGTACTGTACCGATCACCAGGATGTCAATGGTGGCAGTGGCCTCCAGCCTGCCCAGCTGCACATGGAGCTGATAGCGACCTGAGTCAGCACGTTTGGCTTCTCGGATGAAGAGGATGGAGTCTTGCTCCCCATTCCGAACGCTCACACGACTGACGTCCAAGGCACAGCCATTGTGTGTCCAGGTGGCTTGAGGTTTGGGTTTGCCCTGAGGAATGGGGACAAAGCTTGAGCAGCCCCAAAGGGCTTCTTGACCCTTCTTGCTGTGGTAGGGGTCAGATCCACCCCAGCTCCACAGGGTGACTTGACTCACAGCTGCAAATTCCTTGGGTTAGAGGTCAGTGGACTCTCCCAGGGGACTGCCTCCTTTCAGCAACAGCCTAAGGATCATGGGAAAAGGGGATGGCTTTGAGTCTCCCACCCTCTGAGAGTTTAGGTCGTGGACACACAGGGCGGCTGGGACCGACTGAATAGCTGCCCAAACTCCCAAGAGCTTTTCAAACTGAGGGCTCCCCAACCTCTGTGGACTGAAGGGCATGGATTAGCCTCACCTCATCTCATGGGGCATGCCCGACCCTATGCTAACCCACCCTCAGCAGTGCAGAATGGACGGGTCATTTCGCCTCAGACTTCTGGTGATGAGGCCCTTCCATTCAAGGCCAGGAAGACTGCCCCACTGCTAGCAGGACTCTTGTTATCTGTTTCCATATCAAAACCCTGGCCTGGTCCCAGACACGGACCCAGTGTGGGGCTGGCATGATCACCTGGAATGGGATTAGTAGGTTCACTGTGTCCCCAACTTTCCGGATGTAGGTCTGCCTCAGGGCCCGAGGTAGCCAAATCTTGGGATGCTCTGAGTGATGGAAAGAGAGAGAACAGGAGATGGATACTCAGAGGAAGTGGATACTGCATCCAGCTGCACTCTTTGCACTCTAAGGCCAGGCATTGTTCACCAACTTAAGCCCTTCTCTCAGGAAATGGGAGGATTGCTCCTGTCATCTTGCTGGCATTTAGGGATGAGTGACTGGCTGAGGGATCCCCTGGAGAGTGTTAGAGTCTTGGCAGAAAGAGCACTAGAGTGTGAGCCTGATACTTCTTTTAATTTGTAACTCTCAGCTACTGACTTTTCATAAGCTGAGATTTTTTTTTTCTCTGTACACAGACCAGTCCAATGTGTGCAGTTTATCTTTCCACCCCCTTTCTACATTTGTCCTTAATACATTCCTTTTATCAGGGCCACTTTCGATGTTAATCCTGACCTCCCAGTTTGGTGAGGACTTGAAAAGAATGCTTTCCATTCTGCAGACAGCGTTAACATCCTGGACTCCAGCAGGCTGTCCACTGAGGCAGCGCTGATGTCATGGCAGAGGGAGCAGGCCAGCTGAATCGCTTCCTCTGTATGGCCACCCTGCTCCCAAGAGTCTGCATGCTGCTCTTCCAGTTTGTGGAGGATCACTTTGTACAAACAGAATCTGGGGAGTATTAGTTCCCCCACTCACTTTCCCATGATCTCCCAGGCCTGTCTGAGTGAGAAGTGGACATTAGGTGACGTTTATTGGCTTCCAGGATAAAGACAGGAGACGTGGGGGGAAAGTGCTGTGTGTAAGGTTTGGAGAATGACTTGGTATAACTTCTCTCCTCTCAGGATGCCTCAGGCTGCCTTGGCTGCCAAAGTGCAAACCTCCCTCTTGGGTTCTGTTAGGGACCCTGCTGAGACTGACACCATTTTCCAGACTTTTCAGGGCTGTTGTCTTCTCTTTTCTCAGGCAGGGACAGTCCCTGCTGCTGTTATCTTAAGTAGAATGTAACAGTGCCTCAGTTCCCACCAACAACCCAGGCATTTCTTCTCCAATTCATTCCCAGCAGGTGGAAAAACTCCACTGCTGGTACATTCCTGTGCCCAACAGCATGACGGCTTGATAGTAGATTCCAAACTTTTTTTTTTTTTTCCTTTTTGTCTTTTTTCATGACCGGCAACGGATCGCAACCCTCAGTGTCGCGCCCGTACCAGACCGGGACCGGCAACGGGATCGCAACCCTCAGTGTTGCTCCCTGCACCTTGCTCAGCCAGTGAGCGGGAACCGGTCCATATGTGGGATCCGAACCCTCGGCGGGAGCGCCGCCGCGCTTCCCAAGCGGCGCACTGTAGCAGTGCGCCACCGGGCCGGCCCCAAACTTTTTGATAATACACATTTCTCTATAAATACATTCCTAAGCATTCACCCCAACATACGTATGTTTACTTATAAATTGAACTGTTTAAATATGTACATTATATAATGCAAAAGTTTAAATGATGAAATTTGAAATAAAATAAATGGAGGTTCTACTGTGTTCTTCCTACACCTCAATTTCTACACCGTCTAGAGAACTTCACTCCTAGAGTACTCCAGTTACGAGTTAAAGATCACTTGTAAATGAATATAAATACAAATATACAGTGCATGTGGTCCATCTTATTTACCTACATTCCTTTTTTGCTGTGTGGCTTATGTTTTCATCTGGGCTGTGCTGTCTTCAACTGCACCTCAGGAACTATGTGATAAGGGGATGCGATTGTTCTGAGTGTCTGTCTTCCCTGTCCTGCTCAGGGCTTGCCCGCCTCAGGCCTCAGTATGAACATGACAGCGATGGAGCCCCAGGCAGCTGAGTGACCCTGCTCTGGTTGCCCTCTGCTCGCCTTGGCAGCTCTGGAGAGGGCAGGGCCTGAAGAACAGAAGAAGGGTTTGTGTGATGTGTTCCTCTCACATGGCCATCTTGGCAAGCAACCAAGGAGCTGGAAACATGCGGATGTGACTTAAGGGTTTTTTGAAAACAAGGGCCAGAATTAAAAAGGAGGGTCCTGTTATGCATGGTTCTTCACTGCTGGGTGGGGAAATAACTGCTCATACTTACTGGGGAGAGGGCTGGAGAGAAGGAAGCTCTGCTGTCTTTGTGCTGCCTACAGAATATGAGAGTTATGAAGGACCTTGGTGAGCACCCAGAAGGAGAACATAGGAGGAAAAAGTGTTCAGAGAGAAGCTGATTTGCTGGAGATCTCCCAGCTAGTTGGGCAGTTGTGCTTGGCCCCAAGACTCCTGCCCCTGACTCTAGGATTGCATCTCTGAGGGACCCATTCTCTGAGCCTGGCCTACCTGTCCACTTGGCTGCCCACCAGTGTCTAACGAAGACTGGGCACCACAGTAGGTGCTCTCCTCACCCTGGATGGAGAAGGCATAGAAGGGAAGGCAGAGGGATGTATATATACTCAGGGACTGAAAAGAAAGGGTCAAAGTGAGGAAAGGAAGCCAGGCCCGCACGCCTGGCAGACGTGCCAGCTGAGCCTTACTCTGCTTAGACCTCAGGTAGGATAGATGCATGCTGATATATACAGAGTACTTCAAAAAGTTTGGGGAAAAATTGAATTAAAAGATAATGTGAATCCTTCCATGAATTTTTGAAGTACCCTTGTATATTTGTTTCCACCTAGCTTTTCTTTTGTTTCTTAGAAAAATACATTGGAAAATGTTAGCATTCTCTCACCTGAACTAAAAAGAAAATGAAAGAAATAGGTTTAAGTGAAACATAAGCAAAGGTGGGGGAATTGGGGGAGGATGAGCAGAACAGCCTTTGAGAGCCAGAGGTATCCAAGCTGGGGCAGAGAGACAGCAGAGAAAGGCTGCCAGCCAGGACGGTGTTCACTGCCTCCCTGGCCAGTTCTTTGCTTACAAGTGGGATTCCCTGACAAGAAGATGAATGTTAAGTCACTAGGATGTTCTGACTCTCTGAGGATGAGTAGTGAGGACCCAGGTCCCTAGTGGGAGGACAGAGGATGGGCTTGGGGCCGAAGCAGCTGACAAAGTGCAGGAGGCAGCAAGAAAGAGGTTGACAGCTCCAGATGCCCCATCAGCAGCAAGTTCTCCAGTTGACTCCCAACTCAACCCAGGCAGCAATCTGACCCTTTGCTAAGAATGTTGATACAAGGGCTTATTTGAGGCATCTCTTTTCACACCTCTGCAGTCAAGCGAGGTGTAAATTGTACTGACCTTGGGGAGCCGTGGCTTCCCCTGATGCCCAAGGTCTTTCTCCTCTTCAGATGCCAGGAGGAATGTGAACCAAAGCCTAGAGCCCCAATGCAGAGCCTAGGTTTTTTTTTTTTTTTAAAGATGACTGGTAAGGGGATCTTAACCTTGACTTGGTGTTATCAGCACCACACTCTCCCGAGTGAGCCACGGGCCGGCCCCGAGCCTAGGTTTTTTAAGACCATGCCTGTGACAGCATGTCTGTCAGTTTGTTTTTCTCCCTTTATAGAGGCTTGGGGAAAAGGCATTTTGAAAAGTCCTTTGAGAGGTGTTGGCTTCTGAGCTGTGTTGCTCTCAGTGCTATATTTCCCTCAGACAGAATGCTGTGTGATTCCTTCTCAAAAATTATTAGAGGAGGCTGGTTAGCTCAGTTGGTTAGAGCGCAGCCTTATAACACCAAGGTGATGGGTTTGGATCCCCATACTGGCCGGCCACCAAAAATAAATAAATAATTAGAGAAGGAGATTACTTCAAGTCCAAAGATCTTGACTCTTCCTGATTAGAAAATCCCTCTTAATATCTACCCTAATTTTATTCTGCTGAAGTTTATACCCATTTTTAATTCTATTCTCCTGGGAAATAATTGTTCATATCCTCTCAAAATTTCCTTTCCCATGGTTAGAGACTTCCCTCCAGCAATTCCCTAAGGGCTGAATAGTTCAGACTGATGTTTATTAACTATGGATGGCCTGGAGAGTGAAGAAACAAGATGACACATTAAAGTTGTGTGTGCATATGAGTGTGTGTATGTGTGAGTGTGTTTATATGTGTGTGTGTGCCTGTACAAATGGGCTTGTATAAGTGAGTGGTTACCAAAAGAGGGTAAATGCACAAGGCCAGCTATGGCTTTGAAACTAACCAGAAATTTCCAGGGATCCAAGAAGTACCAACATTTCTTAGAGAAACATTAGCAGATGCCTACAATGTGGCCTCAGCCTTATCAGAAACCTGTATGGGGGACTGTGATGGGAAAGGAGTGCAGTGACCTCAAATGTACCTTGAGAAGGATAAGTGTCACCTCCTTGAAGACCATGAAACTAAGGTCAGAGAAAATAAAAGGACATAGAAACAGGCAACACTTCTCTGGGGAAAACACTCCATCACCCCCTCCCCTTGTTATCTTCTTCCCCTTGTGCTTGATGGCTTTAGCCTTGGCTCACTGTCACTCTTTCCAACACTGCTCTAGTCATGCTTCCTGGTGATTACAGCCTCCATCCTTCCAAACCCTGCAGGGCCACTCACATTCTGGCCCACCACTCCTCCAATGACTTTGTCCTCCTCTGCTTCAGCCACGGGTCATTGTGGTCCTTCTCTAGACCAAGAACTGCAACCTCTCCATGATCTGAACTGCAGGCATCCCACTCTCCCATCACCGCCTCTACAACAGAGATGGCTAATAGTCCACCAATATTTATGTCATCCCTACCATAGTGTAGTTATCTCTGAGAAGTGGCTGCCCAGCCAGGGACATTCCCAGCCCCCCTTGCTATCTTTCCATGAGACTAGCTCTTGCCAGTGAATTGTGAATGGAAATGGTGAGGATCACTTCTGGGCCAAGACTTTTAAGAAGTGAGTTCTCCATTTCTCCCTTCTGCTAGCTGTATGCAAATGGTCACAGGATCCTAAGGAATGGCAGAGCCCCAAGATGAAAGAGGCCTGGGTCCCTGAATTACTGCATGGAGGAGAACTATCTGCTGAATAGAACACTTGTTTCCAGTTTTTATGCTAGTAAGAAAAAAACATCTATTGTTTCTGAGATCTGTTTGTTTCTTCTAGTATACCCCAACATGATCTCTATCCCTTTAGCTCACTTCCTCTAATGCTCCAACATCAGCAATTCTTTAGCAACACTGAGATCAGTGATCCATTATCCTACCACCCTTTCACTATCTATCACCCCTCTCATGTTATCACTTTCTTCCCCAGCCAACTTAGATGCCATGGTCATTATTATACCCACTCTCTTGCATATTCACCCAAATCTCTTAATCCTATTTCACTTCATTGCACCCTCCTGGCAATACCCAACCCTGATTAACTAAACTTTCCATCCACTCAGTGCCTGCATCCGCACAAAATGACATGACTAGGGAAAAATACAAAATTATGCTGACTTTAACTTGATGGCCATTCACATTGACCACTACCTCCAAATGGACCCTGGCAATGCTAGACTTCCCTAGTTTACTCGATTTCCTATTCCTGGGTGACTACTGCACACCTTCTTCTTCTGAAACCTTCACACCTTCTCCCTCATTCTCATTCTTAGTTGATGATCTTGCTAGTGTGTAAGGCCTGCCTACAGTCTGTTCTTAACATAGCAGCCAGCAAATCCTTAAAACCTACACCCAATCATGCCAGTCCTCACTCAAAACCCTGCGCGGGATGCCCATCTGTCTCACAGTCAAATCAAAGTCTTCACAGTGGCCCTGTTAACTCTCTGACCCAAATCCTATCACTCTCCCTCACTGTGCTACAGCCACGGTGGTCCCAACCCACATGCACATTTCTGCCTCAGGGCCTTTGAGCTTATTCTCTCGGGGTGGAAAACACTCCTCCAGAGTAGCTGATGCATTGCTCTTACCCCTCCTTTAAGTTGCTGCTGCTCAATTCAGGGAGGTCTTATTAGTGAGGCCTTCATGGAATATCCTATATGAAACAGGAAGCTTGCATGCTTCCTACCTCCAGCACTTTCTGTCCCCTTCCCTGCATTATTTTTGGCATAGCATTTACCACCATCTGACATGTTATGTATTTTATTTATTTATTGTCTATCTCCCATTAGAATATAACCTTCATGAGGGGTGTTATTTTTGCCTATTTTGTTCATTTTTGTAACTAGCACCTAAAACAGTTCCTGGCATACAATAGGCACAAAATAAATATTTGTGGCAGGAATAAAGAGAGAACAAAGGAAAGAGGGATGGAAGAAGGCTCCCAGGCATGAGATTTGGCTTCCCAAGCCTGGAAGACACAGAACAGTTCAGATTGAAAGAGAGTGCACAGTCTGCTGGAGCAATTAAGCTGAAACCAACAGATGGGCCCTCCCTCTTCCATCTCAGGGTCCCGTCTTCTCCATCCATCAGGGATGCAGCTTCTCACTATTTTGGAAGCTCTCCTCTGGCCCCTAAGCTTTGTCTTCAGGACACAGTGCCTCAGTGTAGTGCTGAAGACAGACACAGAATCACTTACCAGTGCCAGCCACCTACTCCTGCTTATTTAGCCACATAGCAGGCTTGCTTGACTAAAAGTTCATTTTCAGCCAGCTGCAGTTTATTTTGATCTTGCAAATTAATTTCTGCTTTTGATGCCTGCTCTATTTCCCAGGCTCTCACATGCTCACTGCAGTACCCATAGAGCTCCCAATAAGGAAGAGGAGGAATTAAGAGGAGAAGCCTTTGGAGCTCCTAGGGAACTCAGAGGTCATCTAGTCCAGGTCTGTGGCACTTTAAGGGCCCTGTGGATGGGCTTCAAGGGCACTGTGAACTCCCTGAACTTTTTTTGTGTATTTTTCCTCAGTGAAAGTCCACAGCTTTCATCAGATTTTCTTAGGGGCCCATACCCACCAAAGGGTTAAGACATCGATTTAGTTCAACTCTTTTTTTTTTTTCTTTTCCTTTTTGTCTTTTTTCGTGACCAGCAACGGATCGCAACCGGCAACGGATCGCAACCCTCAGTGTCGTGCCCGTACCGGACCGGGACCGGCAATGGGATCGCAACCCTCGGTGTTGCGCCCTCACCTTGCTCAGCCAGTGAGCCGCCGGTCTGTATGTGGGATCCGAACCCTCGACGGGAGCGCCGCTGCGCTCCCAAGCGGCGCACTGTAGCAGTGCGCCACCAGGCCGGCCCTAGTTCAACTCTTTAACTTAGAGATGAGAAGATGGAGGCCTGAGGGGCGGTACTGACTTGCCTATGGTAACAGGACAGAGCTAGGATTTGAAATCATGTCTTCTTTTTCCAAGCAGCTAACAGATGCACACATGCTTTGCAAAATGTCAGATGGTGTCCTTATTGCTAGTGACCTCTGGGATACCATGGGTGCTCGTGGCCCTGAGGCCTGTTGTGTACAGAGCTACCGCACACAAGGACAGGGGTGTTCAGGTGCACTTCTGGGACCATGGCCAGGGACTGTCAGGAGCTGGCTGCCCACAATGTCCTGCTCTGCAGCCATAGAGGAGAATGTGGGTGAGACACATGCCCTCCCCCAGGGTTTTTGGAGACAAGTTGAGAGTGGCAGGGAGTCAGCAGTCCTGGCTCTTTCTCTTTCTTTTTGGAGAAAAAACTGATTTTCTGCTTTGATCACCCCAGTTTAATATGCTCACAATAACTTCTGCTCCCTCTACCTCTGCTTCAGTGGGACAGACTCAGCCAGCTCTTTTCCCTTGATGCTCAAACAGCTTCTGAAAACCCAGTCTCTTCCATTACAATGATGGGAGGCCGAGAGTCTGCCCTGCGCAACCCTATGTGGAGGTAGAAATCTTAGCCTTCACCCCTGACCTGGAAACATTTCATAATTTATTTACATCTTGGTTTGGTCTCTTCCAAGGCACTTTGGATTATTTTAGCAATTCTTTCAACTACCCTGCTAGGTAGATGTTATTAATCACCATTTTACAAAGAGGAAATTGAAACTGGGCAGTGAATTCGTTTGTCCAAGGTCACAGAGCTGCTGGAGGCAGACTGGGAATTGAGCCTAGATCTTTGCCTCCAAGTTCAGGATATCTTTTCTCCTCCTCCCTCTTCCTACCCTGAGAGTCCACAGATTTCTCGTTTTTGGTCTTTGCATCCTCTGCTTTTAAGACTTTAAGGAGCCAAATGCTGGGACTTTGGTACTAGTAACTGTCATACACATTTCATACAGCCCTGTGGTTGCTTCTGCTGATTACCATGTAGAAGGGAAGAGCTGGCTTCTGCCCTCCCACTCTGTCTACTGAGCCAGGGCAGCAGGATATACACCTTTGCTTGGCTCCCAGGGGCCTCCCAGGTGAGCATCACAGAGGTGCTAGTTACAGGGTAGTTGGGGGTGGGTGGTAGGGCTGTGGGCAGGGCAACCTGGGATTGGAAGGGGCACCAACCTCCTCCTAGCTCAAGAATACCTCTTTGCTGAGAGGCTCAGAGACCACCACGGAGGGAAAATCAAATGCTTCTCCCCAGAGGGCTCCACTTCCATGATGCTCAGACTCTGAGAGGCCAGGATTCCCCATTGGAGCCGGCAGGGGATAAGGGGGTGGGTGTTGGGGTAGGTCCTGATGCAGGGCACTGCCCAGGGAGAGGCTGAGTGTTACCATGCTGGTCAACACTTAGCCTCCCAGTTGCCAAAGCTGTTGATTACCCCCTCTCCCACTTCAGACCACTATTTCACCCCACATTTCCTTTCTGACTATTGGTATATCAGGCCCTCCTAGTCCCTGTGACAGACTTTTATTTTTTTATTTTTTTTTTTTGTGACCGGTAAGGGGATCGTAACCCTTGGCTTGGTGTTGCCCGCACCATGCTCAGCCAGTGAGAGCACCAGCCATCCCTATATAGGATCCGAACCCACAGCCTTGGCGCTCCCAGTGTTAAGGTCAGTAGGGGTTGGGGCATCCCTACGCCCCAACCCCTACTGACCTTAACACCAGTGCCACTGCGCTCCCAGCGCCACACTCAGCCGAGTGAGCCACGGGGTCGGCCCATGTGACAGACATTTTCTTTTTTTTTTTGTCTTTTGTCTTTTTCCGTGTCCGGCAACGGATCGCAACCCTCAGTGTTGCCCCCGTACCGGACCGGGGACCGGCAACGGGATCGCAACCCTCGGGGTCGCTCCCGCGCCTCGCTCAGCCAATGAGCGGGAACCGGTCTGTATGTGGGATCCGAACCCTCGGGCGGGAGCGCCGCCGCGCTTCCCAAGCGGCGCACTTATCCAGTGCGCCACCGGGCCAGCCCCCTGACAGACATTTTTTAAAGGCAAAAATATAAATAGATCATTTTTAGTCACTGTAAAGTGCCACAAGCATCATTCACTGACTTCTCAGCTAAAAAGCAAAAACCCAGCAAAGACACTTGAGCAGCAAGTAAGAATCCACCAAGGAAGAGGAGAGGGGGTTGCATCGAATGCTCCTCATCCTAAGCACCAATCCCATAAAGTCCTTCAGCTCTACAAAAACCTAATGAGGTGCAGTCAGACTGGTAGCAATGTGCTCCCCAACTCCCGCCACCTAGCCTCCCCACCCTCTCCAGCCACCGTGGGTCACCTTCTATAGGGAGCAGGAGTTGAGGTGAAGCCTGGGGTCGTACAGCATCGGCTGGCCTGGCTTCTTTCACCTTCAGCTTGCATCCCAAGGCCACCTCTGGAGCTGTGGCTGCCTCCATGCTGGGCCTACCCCGAGGCTGGGCTCCAGCTGAAGATTTTCACTGTTGGTGGTGAGGGAGGGGCTGGGCACCTGCTCCCCAGGCTGGCCTCCTGGGGTCCCAGCCGCAGGGTTATGTAACTGGGCTGGCCTTTCCCCACCCTGCTATGCCCAGAAGAAGGCTGAAGTAGAGGTTAGGAGAAGAGGGGATCAGAGAGCAGCCCAGAATAGCCACAGGGGGAGGGCTGAGGTGGCCCTGTTATCCTGGGAAAGAGATGACACCCCTCACAATGCAAGGGAGGGAGGGGAGAGCTTGAGCACAGACCATCCAAGAGGGACCTCTGGCTTCTGTTGGGAGGATTGGGTGACATCTCAGCTCCTGACCTCCAGCTCATTTAACAGGGCATTCAAGTCCCAAATAAGGGACCCAGGATTAGCTGATTCACAGGCACACCTTTAACTGCTCTCTCTCCCTCTGTTCCCACACTCGAAGAGGTGTAGAGCCTTATCAACTTGACCTTTACAGGACTGTCCCCATCCTCTGGCCTGCCTCCCTCCCTTTGCCGCCCCTCCCCCACCCCACCCCTGCGCCCCACGGGCAGTGGAGCAGGTCACGTCTGTACTCTGCACTCAGATTGTCCAGCTCCACTTTGGCTCTATCTCCAACTAGCTGTGATTTGAAACAGCACAGTCTCTCTTAAGTCTGTTTCCTCATCTGTAGAATGGAGATGATAACCACAGGGTTGTTGTGAGAATTAAGAAAGGTAATCTCTGTAAAGTGCTTAGCAGAGTGTAGCCGATAAAAGTAAGCTATTTTGAGGTCAGCATTTCCTCCTTTGAAAGCTGTCAATGGCTCCCTTGCCTATGAGATAAAGTGCAAATAAAGAGAGGCAGCAGTGGCGAGGACCTGAGTATGACTTCTGGCTCTACCACTCATCATCAGTAGCGACTCTGGGCCAGTCACTTACTCGGAATCTCAGGTCCCTAGTCTATGAAACAAGGAATGATGATGCCATGATTGTGTTGAGGATAAAGTGATGAAAATATAGGGCAGTGGTCAGCCCACAGCAGGTGCTAGTTACATACGAAAAGTTCTATGATTCCCAGGTTTACCAAACTGTTATTCTACATGGTGTACACTCCACCCAAATTGTCTGCTTTCCTATCATACTCCCACATTCTCATTTCCAGAAGCCACAATCCTCTGTGTATTTTTTTTTAAATATACTTTATTTTTACAGCAGTTTTAGAGTCACAACAAAGTTGAGTAGAAAGTACAGAGGTCCCATCCATATACCTCCTCCCCGACCCTTGAGTGTGGTTGAATGAGTGGGTTTACTCATTTTAGCCCCCAATTTGGTGGTAATCAATAGGATTCTGGGAGCCCATGTTATCATCTTGGGGTTACAGAAACCCAGCTTCTTTGCAATTGGTATAGGGGCTGAGGTCCAGGACAACCTGTAGATATACTTCAGGCTCAGAAACCAGTTTGTCAGGGTCTAGAATGACCAAACAGGGTGACTGTGCATGTTGACCTTTGGGGCTGGTTTGGTTGGCAAAAAGCTGGACTTGTGCCATATCAGAACTGCTTTTAAGAACTAACCTATATCTCTCCCCTGACTCAGCCAAGGCCCCCTATAAGTACGGACAGTCCTCAAACACACCCCCTTTTTACACCATACTTAACCCATGCTTTGGCGAGAAAATTGACCCAGGCTTTCAGTCTTAGCTCTTTGTGTAAGAAAGAGCATTTAAGGTGTAAAGAACCAAATTTAAAATGCATATTCCTAAGGCCTGCACATTAGAAAGTCTGATTCAATAGGTCTGGGTGGGATCCAGAAATTTGCATTTAAAAAAGCAACCTAGTGATTCTGGTGCAGGAAGTCTTAGAACACTGTTAGACAGAATTCCTTAAAATAAAACTACTACCTTCGCTAAATCTTCTGGGGTAGGAGTTCTCTCAGATGGTGGCCTTCAAGAACAAGGGCTTTGCCCTATCATCTTCAGACCAAGATGCCAGAGTCTTAAATGGGAATATTACCCTAAGGTGGCAGGGTGGGATAGCTAAAGGCTCAAGGCAGGTGGGCAGGAAGCTCTCCTAAAAGAAACATTTTGGAAGAGAGGAAAGTAGCAACTCTTTGAAGGTCCTTAGGTGAAATGGATGAGGAAGGACCATGAGGAAGAGCAGCAAGAGAAATATGAGGGGCAGATGGAAAGTTACAAAAGTTAAACTTCTCCTGTTGTCATTTGTCAAACCTGCTACAAGGAACACAGAATTCAGGAGAGTAGTGATAGTTGCTATGTCCAGAACAAAGAGTACAGCAACTGAAACCTGGGGTGGTGTGTGGGTGGCTCTGCTAGACTTCCCGGGAATAAGAACAAGAAAGCTGGTCTTATAGACACCCACAAAGGTAGATCTTTATGAGCATAAAGAACAAGAAAATTAGATATCTCAAGGGGAAAACAAATCACTTTTTTGAGTCGTTTTCCCTAAAAATTATCTAGTAAATCTCATACTACGTATGCGCAATCCTGGTTCTTTAACTGGCTTATTCTCTGGTTGCTGGAGTTTGACTTTTGAAGCTAGAAAACTGAAAGAGCTATCATATTAACAAACTGCAGCTTACTCGTCTCAGTAGGTCAGGTAACAAAGTCCAGTCTGTTTTATTTCTAATCCAAATATTGCAAATATACAGAAAATTACCAGTACAAAGTTAAACACACCCAGATTTATTTACATGATGCTGAAGAAATTTGAATTTTATTTCCATTTTGTGGAATTTTATTATGGAGTCTGGTTTTGTTGTGTAACTGACATGGGTCATTGAAACTTGATCATCCCACCTCACATGCAATTTTCTGTCCCAAGGGATCAGAAAGCTTGGGTTTTTAGCGCACATGCAGTAATGATTTTAATACTGCTTTACACTTTTGTAGGAAGGCAGCTATCCCACAGCTTGGGGACAGAAACACATGCTCAGAAAGGGAACAAGAGACAAGAGAAGGTTGACTGACAGGCACATGGGGACCCTGAGCATTTCTATGCACGATAATAAGGAGAGCACAACCAAAACCCTCCTCCCCAGAGGTTCAAAACAGGAGGTGGGCAGAATCATCAGAAAACGCTAAGTTACCCGACCACAACTGAGAGCATGCGGAGGATGAGAACTGCATTAAAGATTTGGGGCATATCAATAAGTCATTAACATGTACACTATACAGTTTATACATGTATATATGTACACACATATATATATAAAGGTACAGATTAGTTTATGTTATTTTATATAAACAAGGACGCTTAAGAATGCACTGCTGTGAAAAAATGCATACAGCATACAGTTGTTGAAGACAATTTCAAATTACTGTTCTGATTCTTACTGTTATAATGTGACATAACTAAGAAATGAACATGCTCCTGCTATTTAAATTATCCTTCATGAGGACAAGGCTTGGGCAGGATGATGCTCCCATTGCTGCCTGAGCTGGGCAAATGGGTGGCAGATGGAACACAAAGTCTGGCACCAGCTGACTCTGGCCCTCCCTGTCACTCCATTATATGGCAAATCTTAAACTTTGGTTTTGTTCAAAGGACGCTTAAGTCCATGTTCATTTTCCTGATTGAGGGAAGATGGCAGCAAAGTTGAAAAGCAGAACCTTCCCTATTTAACTGTTCCAAATATCCTGGCTCAACATGGGGGTGAGGGGACTATGCTGACAATGAGCAGGATGAGTTCTAGGCCACTGCATATAGCGGCAGGACTCTTCAGAGCTCTCCTAAAAGGGAGAACCTCTCTACCCGGATGGCTTGCCTGGACAGTAAATAAATGACTGGATCCAGACCAGCCCTGTTATGTTGGGGTAAGTGTGGAAGGCCCACACTCTCTGTATCCTGGTATCGTGACAAAGGCCATGGGAGAACCAGATATGGTTTATAGGCCCCATGCAGGAGCTGGAGGGGGGAGCACATTACTAAAATGTGTCAAGGATGAAAGGCCAACTTGGGCATGTTGAGGCCCAGAGGCAACCCTAAGAGTAAGAAACACACTGGAAAGCCTACTCAGAGGCAGATGGTAAATTCTACATTCCTGTCATAGTTAACCTACTGAATCTCCTGATCCCACCCCACAACTGCCACAATGCTCCAAAGCTTTTTATCCTTCTAAATAGTGTTCCCATTCAATTAACAACCTAGGTGTATCCTGGGTGTATCCATCCCTGTTCTCTGGTCTCACTAAAAAGCAAAAGTCCCCTTAGGTCCAGAGCAGGAAGGAAGAATGAGTTCTCCACCTGGATTTGAGAGCACAGACCACTTTGGACTGTCTGATATGTCCAACCTATCCCATAATGCTAAATTCCATTACTGAAACCTCTAGAAATAACTTCTTCTGCAACCATCAAGCCTGGGCATTTACACAACAATATGCTATTTTACCTTCAAAGATAATGTTTCTAACCTGAGTAGGACAAATTAGAAATCTATTTTTTTAGAAGCTATCATGGACTTAGGCTGTTTTGCTTTCTGGCTGAGGTCATATATTTGTGAGTGAGCAGGCTGCTACAGAAAGCTAACAAGCCAATAAAGGGAAAGATCCAGGCTTGCTGGCAGTCCTCAAACCAAATGAGAAGCTAGCCAGCAGGGGTGGAAGCAGGAGATGCAGAGGGTGGCTGTCAGTGGAGATTCCATTCCCATACTCTTCAACAGCGACCCTCAATGAGGGGCAGTCTCTAAAAACATATTCATAATTACTATTACTTTTGTTTTCAGACATGAAAAACAGGAGAATAAAATTTTCTATTTACCAAGGTGGCAAAAAAGTGCTAAATACGCCAGCTGCCCCCCCCAAAAAAAAAAAAAAAAAAAAATGCTAAATATTGCTCTGAAAGAAATGCCACTGATCCCTGTCCTAAAGAACAGCAAGTCATCTATAAGGAAGAAGCCCTGCTACAAGTATTCAGCACTTGCATGCATAAAGATTTTCAAGAGTTCTGAAGACAACCAATCAGTATTGCTTGTAACACACACAGGGACCCTGGACGATTTACTCAATATTGGTTCCTCAGCTCCATCTCAAGAATGTTTTGTGTGGTTCGAATGACATAATGCAAGTGAAAGTGCTCTGAAAATTCCCAAGTTCTACAGAAATCCCAGATACCATTATAAGTAAAGAGCCTTAATCTTACATAGTTATAGAAGAGTATTAACGTAACAATCTTAAAACTTTTAAGAGGATTACCATATATTGGCACATCTAACCACAGTAGGTATACGTAGGAGAAAAGGTATATGGTGTAAACAGGTCTTTTCTGGGCACCAAATTCACTTTGGGCAAGAGGTGAAGGTGGGGCAAAGGCTGATGCTTTTATCACTTGTGAGCTGGTATATCTTTGGAATTATTTTTACTTTTAAAACCATGTAAAATGAATGAGCTAAAATACTAGTGCACTCTAGCCCTAACAAATATTCTCTTCACAAAAACTGCCCAATTTTATTTTCTAACTGAAGCTCCCTTACTCATTTAATTTTACTGCAGTTTCAAAGTCTCTCCAATCCTTCATCCACTCCCTCCCCCACTTTCCCTGCTGCTGTTAATCCATTCTCGGGAGGAGAGAACTTACCATCTGCTCATGCATTCTGACAAAAGTTAATTTGGCACATTTACTTTTTACTGACTTTACAGCCACAAAATAAACTAGTAGCAAAATGGCATTTACCAAAGAATATCTGAATTATAATTATTGGGAGAAACTGTGACCAGCACAGAAGGTACATTAAGACCAAAAACTTACCACACTATATTCCTGTATAGCAAATATTCAAGCTGTATTAAAACTAATTATTGCAGCTTTCTGTTACTATATGGCCACCCCAAAAATCATCCAACTACATTCTATAATTTATTTAATTTGGAAAAATGTCAAATGAGAAACTTCCTTAAATTTAAAATGTGTCACACAAAGCATCATCTTAAACTGGAAGTGTGTTATCAATTGGTTCAGCCAAAAATTTCGTGCCCACAAATTACTTGGTAAAGCTGGGAAAAGGGGGTGAGAAGGAGAGCCTAGTAATAAAATTCTGATTTAAAAAAAAGGGTCTATTCATCTGAAAACATCTCTAGTCATGGCTCCATATACAACAGCAACCTAAAAGGAAGCAAATAAGCAGCCATGGTAATGATTCAACGACGAGCCAATACAACCAGTAAAAAGGGAAAATGGAAGACTGTGATGTTCAGTCCTCAGGGGCTGCACTGAACAGCCCCTGAATTGTGCATGCAACAATCAGCTCTGGTGAAGAGATCACTCAGCCTGGGCTGACTTCCAGGCCAAGCCTGTACCCTGTCCTTGAGCAAGTCCACTGGCACACACACAAAGCAGGGCTTGAAAAAGCTCAGAAGCAAGAATTTCTTCTTTAATAGGTGCTAAATCTAGTCAATTCTCTGCTGCTCCCTTCTTCCTGCCCTAAGTTAAAAATATTGCCCTGTAAGTTTTCCTGATTTAGTGTCTTGGAAGCACATGGTTAAAATTAGTTGCCAAAGGGCAATTAATAAGAGTATTGCCTAACTAAACAGGGGAAAAGAAAAATCACTGTGGTCTATGGTCCCTAACGGGGAAAAAAAAGAAAAAAAAAAGACATGAGGGTCTGTATGAGGAGCTGGTTTGCAATTTTTTCTTGGAGCAGGGCTGTCCCCAGATGGAGAAAACCTGGCCAAGATGTGCGACTCAAGCCTCTGTTTTCATCTCTGCAGCTGCTTCATGTCATCAGCAGAGCCCAGGGACAGCACCAACTACATTGTGAGAGTTGATGCTGGAGTTGGCAGATGCCCTGGGGTAGGCGCCATGCAGAAAACGCACTAGTGGGGTTAGGGAAATGGTCCCTTTGAATTTCAGTTCATTTCCCTTAAGAAACAAAAACAAAACCCAAATAGCCCACACTTTGCAAAAAGACAGAACTTGAAATAAAAAGTTGAAGGATTAGAATTTTTTCCCCTCTTCTCAGAGCCAGTTGTAAAAGTGTTCAGGTCTCCCCACCTCTCCCCTGCATTTCTTTACTGTAGGTCCTTTCAGCTTTGATGGAAGCAGCAGAAACAGAGCTGGACCCTTGCAATGGGAAATTTATTTCCCCAAGTTGGAGCCACAGGGAGTATAAGAGGTACTGTGGTTCTGCCATCCATGCTCAGTCCCAGCTCCTGTGAACAGCTATTCCAGGAGGTCCTGAAAAGGAAGACATGCACCATATTATTGGCAGACTAAAAAAATGCCTATTTTGAAGGCAGTCACCAAGTTTCTGGGCTTGCCAAGTATTACAGTCATTAAGTTGCTTCTTCTAGCTTATACCTTTCTTTGCCCCAATTGAAGCTTGATTATGAACAGGTGAAGAATTGGTTTTTTTGTTTGTTTGTTTTGGTATTTTGGACTACCCCACCTGAAGACATATCTCACCTCATCTGAGTCATCATGATAACCACTTTTATTAGTGTGGGAGGCTGTGTCCAAAGCATCCACACCATCCACACCATTGGCCTCTGCATGCTGCTGTAGCACAGAGTATCGATGCACCAGGAACCTATGAATGGAAACCTCTGTTAACTCTCACATGGTAAGAAGGGATACATTTCTTATAGGACTGTGGATTTTCTCAGTTTTGTACACTCAAAGAATGAGTTACACACACAGGAAGCAAGCCCATAGTTGAGATGAGAAGATCTGGGCCTGATGTTTCGACAATATTCTTCAACTACCTAGTTTTTGCCAAGGGTAGACTCAACCACTGACTTTTCTAGTTTGAATTCAGTACTTTTGACTGATTTCCACATTTCTTACCTTCCCCCACAAACATATTTCTTCACAATGAGCACTCCTGCTATGACGGTGACCAGCATCAATCCCACAATGGCCAGGATAATTGGAACAGAATTAGTCTTGGAAATCTTGATAAATTAAAACACAAACACAGAAGCTTTTAGGCAAGCATATTCTAGGAATGAATTTGAAACAGTGGCTCACTCCCCTCATTTCTCATTTCCTGAGGCACTCAGCAATAGTACTTTTCCAGCCCCCCAAGATGAACCATCTCAATGTTACCAGGAGAATAGGACAGCTGGCAGAGGTACTCTGAGCTCCAACTGCCTTGAAGCTGCAAACTCTGGCCTCAATGTAGAAGTTACACTGGAAGCTTTGGCAACTGCCTAGATCAAATATGGTAATCGTAACTATTCCACATTACCACTGTTATAAGCTTAAGGGTGGAGCAGGAAAGGGAGATATAATAGTGGGCTGAATGACTGTAGAACATCTGGGAGAAGCTGTGTCAATGCTATACCAGGCAGGCCATTGTATGACACCAAGATTTATTTTTTGACTTAATTTTTAGTATGTTTTTACAAATAAGCCTTATCATATCATTGTTTACATGTGACCTACCTGCTTCTGGGTGGGAGATAGGGAGTGTGTGTTTTCAATGTATCCAAGAGGAGGCGGAGCTGGATTCTGGGACAAGCTGTGTCCCTGTGGGCGGGAATCCTGTGCAATCACACACACAAACACTCTAAGGACAGCCACCAGGAGTCCAGGGCAGGGGTGCAGAGAAGGAGGAACTAGCCCCCTCACAAAACATATACCCACACACTCTTCTCCCATTGCCTTCTTAACCCCACCCCTTGTCAGTCTCTCAGCCCTTAGAACAGAGAGGAAGGGGCTGCAGATTGTCAAGCTCATCCTTTTATATTCCAGATCAGGAAACAGGGGCCCATAGTCTATGGCCCCATGTCATACTGCTGGTCCAGTGCTTCTTTATCAAGAGATTTCCTCTTCACCATATCTCCAAATCCCAGCCAGATAGTTCAGTACATCAGCCCCATAACTTGCTTCTAAATCAAAACCAGTCCCCTATCACCACAGTTCAGTTTTTCATTCTGTAAACACTTAGTATGACTCAGCACAAAGAGCCCCCTGACCTACCATCCAGTGCTCTTCTCTTCCACACGCACAAAACTCCAGGCCATGGCCTTTTACAGCCAACCTTCTTCAGTCTTTTTCCTAAATGACTCAGCCTCAGGAATTTCCACCACTCTATGCTTCTAAGACTTTTACAACTTTATGGAATACCATTTTTCTCCCAACAAAAACGTTTTCAGTAGGATGAGCTTATCATTGGATTATGTGACCCATCCTTCATCCTAACAGTTTCCTCCTATGCAAGGGGAAACCTGACAGAAGAAGTTTGGCCACTTTGTATCAGTTAAAAAATTTCTGATATTTTAACTGATTCTTCCCAGCAGAAAACTTGTACCTAAAAACCAGATCTACTTTAACATACTTGCTTTTCTGGACTCAAAAAGTTGCTTGTGCATTTCTTTTTCAAATCTTTTACTTCTCGAACTGGATTCACCCCATCTTGGCATCTATCTCCTGGAATTTTCCGATACCTGAAAGGCAGAAGTATCAGAATACAGGGATGTGTTCCTGGGCTCTTAACTATTTTCTGGAAATAAGATTTAAAAAGCTGCGGAAAAGCTTCTCATCCTTACATCATCTTTCAGGCCTGAGCGGGATGTTTTATGTAGTTTCAGGCCTTCAGTAGACTAATCGTTATCTGTCCCTTGTTGTCAGGGACATGCTAGTCCTTTCTACCTTAATAGACCATGCCAAAGAACTGTGACCCAGGTAAAGCTCATTAACAAGCGGTACAAAAACAAGGGGAAATTTATCGGGGGAGGGAGGTAATGAGGCTTCTGTAGAGCTGCACTCTCCCATATAGTGGCTATTTAAATTAAAATTAATTACAATGAAAAATTCAGTTCCTCGAGGGCACTAGTGTCAATAGCCATATATAGCTAGTGGCTACCATATACTGCTAGTGGCAGTATTACAGAACATTTCCATCATCATGGGAAGTTCTATTAGAGCTTTTCAAGAGCACTTTAGAATATTGCTCAGATCTCTGTGTGGAGAGAAGCAGCTTTCATTCTGAATTATGATGAGTCATTTGCATGATAAGGAGAAAAGCTGTCTTACCCATTTGTTGTTAGGTGCTCTTCTCTTCCATACAGACAAAACTCTAGGTCGTGACCCTTCAGTTCTGGCTGTTCCACACACTCTGAGTCATTTTCTGGACGGAAGTAGCCAAAATCACTGTAAGAATCAGCAAATAAAGTACCTTTCAAAGTTGCTGAAGGACAGTAAGTGATTAGCAATGAAGGTTCTATGTGGGGCAGTGGCTGGTTAACATATCCCAGTCTTGGGTTGCTAGAAAGCAGCTCAGGAAGACCTGGGATATCTCTAAAGAAGGTCCATTTAGGAAAACATACATGGAGAGGGTTCTATTGAGGGGGGAAAAAAGCTTACAGATGATGCCTGGTAGACTCAGGAGTAACTAGAGCCCAAAGCTGGGAGCTCTGCAGACAGCTCAGGCTCAGGGAGTTGACTGACTGCAGCCTGCTATGGGGTGGGGACCCAGCAACTAAGACAAAGAGGAGGCCACAGAAACAGTGGCATCGGCAACAGATCTAAACCCAGGGACACTTAGCAATTCTTTTCTTTACCTCCAAATGTCATTATTATGTTTTCTTTGGGGTATATGTCAAATTTTTAATGTCTTCCCCTGTCTGTCTCTCTTAGCTTCTTAGGCGGTGCTTGCCTGCAGTGTGAACACCCTTTTCTCCCCATCATTCATCCCACCTCTTCATAGTGCCACTCATCTGCTCTCCTTGCTCTGGTTCCCCCCCCCACCCCAAAATAACATCCTGCCTCCTTTCCAAGGCTAGTCCCCTACATGAGCATCCTTGGTTCCTCTCTTCCTACCCACCCTGGGAGCTTACTTCATTGAGAGTATGAGAGGGGATGATCAATCTCTCCCACTCGATTGGTGGCTTCTCCTCTGCCTACATGTTTCTACCCTAGAAATTGCTTCCTTAACCCTCCTATCCCTTACTAAACAAATTTCTTAAAAGAATATTATTTACTTATCCTATTTTACTCACTTACTTCTTATTCCATGTATTTTGGCTTCAGCCCCTCTGCAACCTTGAAAATGAGTGTGTGAACCCCACCCCCCGCCAAGGCTCACTAGTTATCAAACCCAGGAGAGCCCTCTCCAGTTTCCTTCACCTTGACCACCTGTTCTGCAGCATCTGATGTACCGCTGTGCCCCTAGCCACCTTGGCAATGGCAAAGTTGCACGCATCTGTTTCTCTGGCCACTGCTTGTTCTTCTTTCTTCCTTATAGGATTCTGTATATGCTCTCCCTTAGTGACCACAACTAAAACTTCTAGGTTGTACTTCTTTCTTGAGCTCTAATTCTACATATCCACATATGAGGGTGCTTCATAGGATTCATGGAAAAATAGAGTTAAAAGATAATACATGGCTGGCTGGTTAGTTCAGTTGGTTAGAGTGTGGGGTTATAACACCAAGGTCAAAGGTTCGGATTCTTGTACTGGCCAGCCACCAAAAAACCAAAGCAAACAAAAAAGATAATATAAATATTTCCACGAACTTTTTTTTTTTTTTTTTGGACCGGTAAGGGGATAGCAACCCTTGGGTAGGTGTCGTCTGCACCACGCTCAGCCAGTGAACGCACTGGCCATCCCTATATAGGATATGAACCCAAGGCCTTGGCGTTCCCAGCACCGCACTCTCCCGAGTGAGCCACGGGGCCGGCCCTCTACAAACTTTTTGAAGACACCTTGTACTCTCTGGATATCACCACCTAAATATGCTGACACTAACTCAAAGAAAGAAAACATTCAAAATACATGTTTTCTCCTCTGTGCTAGCCACGCCTTATCATTTCCATATGTTTGTTCATGATGCTACCTTCCTTCCTACCATCTCAACTGAAAATTTAGCCTGAGCACTCTCCATCCGGATCTTACTGACTTGTCGTGACTACTGTCACTTCCCCTCGCAGCCCACCTCCAAGCACACCCTTCCTTGATCATGCTGTTGGTGTTGGGTACCTACGCTCACAGCAGTCCACTGGCTTTAATGACTGCTTTTTCCCAGATATGCATGATCAAGTCCTACCATTTGTCAATGCACAGCTCAAATGCCACTTCCTCAATGAAGCCTTCTTTGACCTACCTTCTTTCAGCTCTAGATGGAATATTCTCTCCTTTCTCTAAATCCCCATGGCACATACTACCTTCTGTTTTGCATCATAATTATGTACATCTTACCAGGAGAGTCTATAACAAACCTTCCATTATCACTTTACACTGCCCCAAGCACAGTAGGTGTTCAATGAATATCTGGGGAAATATATAGAGGCTGCTTATACTTCAAGGTTTTTCTGACAAGTATTTAGGAGAAAGGGTAGGAACAACAGAAGATGCAGAAGATAGCACCCCTCCAATAGCAGGGGGAAATTTCAAGTAAGAATTTTAGGTATTCAATCCAAAATTTCAGGGAAAGTAGACTTCTCACTCATAAAGGACCCGCTTCTCAAGAATGTGTGGTACAGTGTGTGGGCTCTGCCACTTTCCGCAAGCAAGGTAGTCATACATCTCTGTGGTGAGGCTACACGGAAATTGCTAGGGCAGTGCCTAGTATAGAGTTAGTGCTCAATAAATGTTAGCTGCTATCATTACTACTATATTATTATCAAATATAATATGCTCTCTCAAGGAGTCTGGGGTTTAGTGGTGGAGCCAAAGCTATAAATAACTAAAACAGTGTTAAAAGAGGGGTACTATCAAGGTCTAGATGAAGGAAAACTAGGGAGGGCTTTAATGGGGTGATATTTGGGCTAAGTACTAAAGGCCAAGTAGAATTCACTAGGCTTGGGGGTCAAGCAGGGAATATGAAGACTGTCCAGGCAGAGGAAGCATCACATGCAATGGCATGGAGCTCTGAAGAGGCATGGCATATTTGGAAAACAGCAGGATCCTAGGTAAGTGCCTAGCTGATGTGAAGTAAGGATGGCAGACAACTCTTCAGACTTCTACAGGTTGATCAGCAACAGCTAGCCCTCCTGTAACAGCAAAGGTAATCTGAATGATAATTTTTCTTGCAGCAATAGAGAAGGGAGGAGCCCTGACCATTCCACATACAGGTGTGAGCCATGCAGGAGGAAGCACACTGGGTCAGACCTGCGTTTCACTCAGACCTGTATTCTGCTGTCACCTGCAGTTGGAGAGGATATGATGCAGGAGGACATGACTGCTGTCTGTCTTCTTTGTCTAAATCCTTTCAGATCCACTTTTACCTGTTGGTATCTTTTACAGGTAACACATATCTTTTACAGGTACCTGTGATGTGAAGCAGTTCCTCTTATTTGCCCTAAAATTACCTCATTTAAGCTACACAGCATCTCCCTTGCCTTAATATAATCAACTAACCCTGGGCCAGTGAAGTAACTAATCCTTAAGCCCCAGATGTCATGAACTCTATGGAGTCCACCTTAATAACCTCTAAACCTCAATGAGACATAGGAACCATGAATCTACTGATGTCACCTGTACTCTCAGGAGCAAACCACCATCTCTCTGCCTTCAGTGTTGCAGAGGATCCAAAACCTAGTGCCCTACACTGGCTGAACTCAGCAGTCAGGCTGTTCTCGAAAGTCATTTTTTTTGTTTGTTTTATTCTTTTCCTTATTATATAATTTCTCTTCTTCCCACCATTGCCAAGTCAGGATTACTGGGGCTTGTTGCTGGGTCTGCCCAATAATTAACTGTCCAATATGATTATATTATCTGTCCTATTACTAACAACTTTGTTTCCCTTTCTCTGTTCCTCAATTTCCTTGATAAGAAGCACGAGTTCTACACTCTTAGGGAAAAGGAGTTTTTTGCCCTGTCAGACAACTGTCTTTCACCTCCTCCAACACAGGAAAGGGGCTGACAGAGGGATGTGAGGAATGCTGATACCAGAGGAAGTCCTCCAGGGAACAGAGACAGATGGATGGCTGCTTGGTCACAACATAGTCTCGACCATTCTGACAGACGGACGACTTGCGTAGCCGTAGGTACTGTTCTTTATAGCCCAGAGTGCAACCATCTTCATAACCTCCAGGGTCTGTGGAGTGCGCCAACCATACAGTATAGTCCTTTTCTTCACCTAAAGGACAGACAAACTGTTCAGGAAACTGCACAGCACAGAACCCACCCACAGGAGGCAGCTGCGAGGCTATAGGAAGAACAAGGAGAGGAAAAGTGGAAATGTCTCACTCAATCTATTGCTTCACTTCGTAATCTCAAATGAGAAGTTACATTAGTATAGAGCCTACTAGCAATTGCATTTCCTCATGCCAAAAAAAGATCCTTTCCATCTCACTGTCCACTTGAGGATTAGGAAAAACTTTGAAGTGGGAAGCTGGAAAGAGGACCTCTAGAGTTACTTCCAAACTGAGAGGCTGCTGTCTGTGTGTCTTGCATGCCTGTGTCCTCAGTGAGCAGGAGCCGTCAGAGGTAAGCAACCAGATACTTTCCACTCAGGGTCAAAGAGCTATTTGTTTAGGACAAGATACTAATAGGCCAAGAGCACAGGTTCAATTTTACCATGTGTTAGTTTGCTTAAAACAGAAGGGAAAACATCCTCTTTCTAGACTTCTAACTCTAGTTGACTGGCTCTCAAATGCAGATTGCTGATGATGATAGTTTCTGGCTTAGTATATTGTATCACTCACTCTTGGAAAAATGACTCAAAGGTTTTGACCTAAAGACTGTGGATTAGGTTTTTATCCTTTAGGATATGAAGACCAGCACAGAGCCTGTTAAAGAGCAGATGCTTAACAAATCTTTTAATGATGTTAAACTTTAGGGATCACTGTAGAACTGCCTGCTGAGGGGACAACTCATAAGCCAGCTTTTTTACAGCCTATTTAATAAATTTAGATGATGATGACCCTCAGGTATTAAATATTTAAACACCTTGTAGAAAAATAAGGTCTAAACTGAGAGCTCTGCTTTCTCAGTAGTCACAGAATTAACACTCTGAAGAAATGATGTCATAACATAGTCTAATAGTTAAGACCAAAATTCAACTAAAATGTCTTAAAACTAAGTTTTTTGTTGTATTATGCCAACATGTAATACAGGTCTCCTTTTCTCCAGTTTTTTCTTTCATCCTCCATACTTCTTAGTATAATGTCCGTATCTTTGGCACTGGAGCCTGGGTTTGCTTGTGACACTTTAGGATCACTGTGCAATAAACACTGTAAGTCCTTTTCTTGAAGCTATTTTCCGGGCCTTTAACATGTCTTCTGGTTTGAAGTCACAGAACTCTGAATTGGTTAGTGTTGGCTTCAAACCTGCCCAGTGGCCATTCTAGAGCCTCACCTATGACAGACATTCAAGCCAATACTCTTTGCATGAAAACTTCCTCACTTCAACATTTTCAGAAGTAACACTATCAATTAGATGTTCTTTGCAACCCACTTTCCTTTGAAGTTTCCTCTTTACAGTTCCACTGTATTTCCCTAATTAGGACTGAAAAACCTTGAAAAGATATGAAATAATTTTAGACAGACACACCCATGCACTATTCTTATAAGCAGGAAAAAAGACTCATGAAAGTTACAGAGATCTCTCTAACAGTACAAAGCTATACTGTCCTATATGGTAGCTCTAGCCACATGTGGCTGGTCTAAATTGAGATTTTTCTATAAGTGTTGGTGTTAAATATGCACTGGATTTTGAGTACTTAGAAGGAAAAAAAAGTAAAATATCTTTTATTTATAATTTCTAATATTGCTAACAGGTTGAAATGATAATATTTTGGATATATTAAGATAATCCTATTACTGAAATTAATTTTACCTTTCTTTTTACTTTTATAATGTAGCTGACAGAATAAATTACATATGTGGCCCTCATATTTCTCTTGGACAGTGCTAGAGCCAAAAAGGAAGCAGCTTTTCTGATACCATTCTATTGCTTGATTACCTAAATGGAACATCTTTCAATTCCCTTTCATATTCATATGCATTTGCTTATTCCAGCTAAAAGAAATTAAACAATTTATTTTTTAGGAAAATGGGCTTGCAAGTTTCTGGTAGAAAAAGTCAAAGGAAACACTCACAGTTCCTTTCAAGGATATCTTTAAAATCAATGGTATAGGATACCCATTGGCGGGTCAGGAAAGATTCTGTGAAACCCCAAATGCTGATATTCATGGATCTAGCTCCAGGTTCTGAAGCTAGGCCAGTGAAATAGATGGGCTCCCTGGTGAACATATAGGTTTGCCAGCATTGACCTTCATCTGTGGAGAACCTGAAACCACAATCAGAGAAAGATCATGACAGAGGATCAACGTGTACTAGAAATATCAGGAAACTGCTCTGGCTGTTTGATCCCAAACCAAAGAAAAACCCTCAAATTTACGTGATGGCTAAAAATTAAAAAAATTTTTAATGCCCATTACAGGTACAGAAAAGGGATTCATTCAGAAAGCGTATGGAAGTAAATATCTTTAAGAAAATTCTTTCAAAGGAAAGAGATCAGTAACCCAGGTAAGGATGGGCTTCTAAATTAATAAACTCAATTTATGTTATAAGAACTTGTACTTAAGAAGTCATTTTTAATTCAGAGTATTTGAACACTTCCATAATATTTTTGTGGAGAGAAAGAATAATATTTTTAAGTGACAAAATGTATTAGCTACAGGTAGTTAGATCAAAAAGTAATGCTATTTAATATTAGTTTCTCTAAATGTAATCCCTTCTAGAACCTTCCTACAGTTCTACAGAATGCAAAAATTTGAATCAATGTCCATAACTTCCCCCCAGTAAACTGCCAAACATTCCCACAGTTGCCCTCTCCTCAGATAATGTGTATGGAGCTGAGCTCGTGCATACTTAATCACATTGATAGGATGGCTGCTGTGCTCAACGGCCACAATGATGCCTCCGGAATCCAGGATGGTGTAATAGTGGGGTCCTTCCAGCATCTTCATCCAGGAATAGCCCCCATCATCTGAGATGTACACATCTGGGACCATCACTGAGATGGCATCCCCCACACTACCTGTAACATAATCCACCATCTCATTGGCACAAGTTGTCAACAAAACAGAGAGTGTTTACTAATGAAAGAATAATTTGAATGAATTCATTCTGAATGTTTCCCAACAGGCCTCCTGTAATAGAAAAGAAGGCCACCAAAACCTGGAAAAGGGAGAAGTCATGATGCTCTCTGTGAAGGGAGTCTACAAAAAAACCCAAGAAATTCTACCAAACAAATGTAAAAACCATCCACAGTGGTTCTTCTTACAGAGTGCAAATGCTATGGCTGAGTCTCAGCATGCTCAGCTACTTTTCCTCGTCGTGGTGGTGAGTGGGAGGGCTCCTTACCATGTGCAATGACTATTCCCACGGCATTAGGCTCTGAAAGTGGGGCCATTGGAACGTTCAGTTTCTGGGAGATGCTGTAGGATGCGTGAATATGAAGGCTGCACTGTAAAAAGAAACCAAAGCTTACATTAAAGAGAAAAGTACAATTTCTTTTTCTTTTTTTTTTTCTTTTTAAAAAGATGACCGGTAAGGGGATCTTAACCCTTGACTTGGTGTTGTCAACACCACGCTCAGCCAGTGAGCTAACCGGCCATCTCTATATGGGAAAACCAAAGCTTACATTAAAGAGAAAAGTACAATTTCTTTTTCTTTTTTTTTTTCTTTTTAAAAAGATGACCGGTAAGGGGATCTTAACCCTTGACTTGGTGTTGTCAACACCACGCTCAGCCAGTGAGCTAACCGGCCATCTCTATATGGGATCCGAACCCGTGGCTTTGGTGTTATCAGCATCACATTCTCCCGAGTGAGCCACGGGCCGGCCCGAGAAAAGTACAATTTCTTTACTCATCTCACAGAACTTTCTGATAAAGCTTTGAACTTAACTCAGACCTCAGTGAGATGATGTTTTTTTCCAATTGTGGTAAAATATGCATTTCATAAAATTTACCATCTTAAGCATTTTTAAGTGTACACTTCAGTAGTGTTATATATATTTACATTGTTGTGTAACTAATCTCTAGAACATGTTCATCTTGCAAAAGTGAAATTCTATCACCCATTAAGCAACAGCTCCTCACTTCTTCCTACCCCCAGCCCCTGGCAACCACCATTCTACTTTGTTTCTATGAATCTGACCACTGTAGATACCTCATCTAAGTGGACCCATACAATATTTGTCTTTTTGTGACTGGATTATTTCACTTAGCATAATGTCCTCAAGGTTCATCTGTGGTGTAGCATATGTCAGAATTTCCTTCCTTTTTAAGGCTGAATAATATTCCCTTATATATGCTAGAGTATTTCAAAAAGTCTGTGGAAAAACAGAACTAAAAGATAATATGAAATTTTCCATGAACTTTCTGAAGATCGTGTGTGTGTGTGTGTGTGTGTGTGTGTGTGTGTATCACATTTTATTTACCCATTTCTCTGTTGATGAACATTTAAGTTGCCTCCATCTTTTGGCTATTGTGAATATTGTTGCTCTGTACATGGGTATGCGAAACCTTCTTGAGACCATGCTTTCAATTCTTTCAGATATAAACCCAGAAGTGGAATTGCTGGATCATATGGTAATTCTATTTTTAATTTTTTTTTTCCTTTTTGTCTTTTTTCGTGTCCGGCAACGGATCGCAACCCTCAGTGTCGCGCCCGTACCGGACCGGGACCGGCAACAGGATCGCAATCCTCGGTGCTGCGCCCGCACCTCGCTCAGCCAGTGAGCGGCCGGTCTGTATGTGGGATCCGCTGAACCCTCGGCGGGAGGGGACCGGCAACAGGATCGCAATCCTCGGTGCTGCGCCCGCACCTCGCTCAGCCAGTGAGCGGCCGGTCTGTATGTGGGATCCGAACCCTCGGCGGGAGCGCCACCATGCTCCCAAGCGGCGCACTGTAGCAGTGCGCCACCAGGCCGGCCCTGTTTTTAATTTTTTGAGGAACCACTATACCGTTTTCCATAATGTCTGTATTAATTTGCACTCCCACCAATAGTGTACTAGAGTTCCAATTTCTCCACATCCTCGCCAACACTTGTTTTTGTTTTTTAATAGTAGCCATCCTAATGTCATGAGGACATATCTTGTTGTGGTTTTGAGTTGCATTTTCCTAATGATTAGTGATGTTGAGCATCTTTTCATGTGTTTGTTAGCCACTTGTATATCTTCTTTGGATAAATGTTTATTTAAATCTTTGCCTATTTTTTATTCAGGTTTTTTTTTTGCTGTTGAGTTGTAGGCTCAGAGGGATGCTCTTGATTCTGAAATGTATTAGAATATTTGGGAGCAAATTATGTAATTATTTTCTCATGTGCAATGTGCCTTATTTAATTTTATTTTTGCATTACACCAAAGCTTCTAACTGATGTTTTTTAATTTTTTATGATCTACTTCTGGCTCAGGCTGTGCAACACATACTAGGGTGGGTGACCAATGTTTATAAAGTATGACTCCACACAAATAAACTTGATGTATATCTGACATACTTTAGACACTGTACAAGATGTGGTGCCAATGTGAAATAAGATCCAGTCCTGTCTTTCAGACATCTATGTCATAGGCTCCTGGCCCATTCCCACAGACTGAGGCTCCAGGCCTGCCCCTAAGATCCTAGGCACCAGGCCCATCCCAGTGGACCCAAAGAACCAGGCCCACCAACAGGCCAGCCTGCATCAGGCCAGCCTCCACAGACTAAGGCTAAAGCCTACCCCAGCACCAGTTTGGCCCCTGCAGATACAGGCTCTAAGCACCCCACCTGCAGATGCAGTCAACAGACCCACTCCAAGAGACCCCAGTGCCCAGCCTCCTGAAGTGGACCCAGCCTCCAAGCTTGAGGCACCAGGCCCACCTACCTGCCAGCACTGCCTGTGTAAAAACATACATATATTGAAAGTAAAGGGATGGAAGATGGAAAAAGATATTTTATGCAAATGGTAACCAAAAGAAAGCAGGGGTAGCTACGCTTACATCACACAAAATAGACTTTAAGTCAAAAACTGTTACAAGAGATAAGAAGGTCAATATATAATGATAAAGGTGTCAATTCATCAAGAAAATATAATAATTGTAAATATATATACACTCAACATTGCAGCACCTAAATATATAAAGTGAATATTAACAGAACTGAAGGGAGTAGATGACAATACAATAATAGTAGGGCACTTTATACCCCACTTTCAACAATGCATAGATCATCCAGACAGAAAGCCAATATGAAAACAACAGATTTGAACAATACTATGAACCAAATGGACCTAATGGACATACATAGAACATTTCATCCAACAGTAGCAGAACACACATTCTTTTCAAGTGCACACAGAATATTCTCCATGATAGAACACATGTTAGACCACAGGTGCTAACAAATTTAAGAAGACTGAAATCACCTCAAATGTCTTTTCCAACTATGAAACTATGAAACTAGAAATCAGTAACAAGAAGAAAATTAGAAAATTCACAAATGCGTAGAAATTAAACACACTCCTGAACAATCACTGGATCAAAGAAAAAATGAAAAGGAAGTCAAAAAATATCTGAGACAGATGAAAATGGAAACACACATACAAAAACTTACAAGATGCGGGCCGGCCCGGTGGCGCACTGCTACAGTGCGCCGCTTGGGAGCGTGACGGCACTCCCGCCGAGGGTTCGGATCCCACATACAGACCGGTTCCCACTCACTGGCTGAGCGAGGTGCGGGTGCAACACTGAGGGTTGCGATCCCGTTGCCGGTCCCAGCCCGGTATGGGCGCGACACTGAGGGTTGCGATCCGTTGCCGGACACGAAAAAAGACAAAAAGGAAAAAAAAAAAAAACTTACAAGATGCAACAAAAGCTCTAAGAGTGAATTTTATGGTGATAAATGCCTATATTAATAAAAAAGAAATATCCCAAACATCCTAACTTTATACCTCAAGGAACTAGAAAAAGAAGAACTAAGCCCAAAGTTAGCAGAAAGAAGGAAATAATAAAGGTCAGAGCAGAAATAAATGAAATAGAGATTAGAAAAATAATAGAAAAGATCAATAAAACAGTTTTTTTGAAAAGATAAAAAAAACACAAACCTTTAGCTAGACTAAGAAGAGAGAAGATTCAAAGAAATAAAAGAGAAGACATTACATTACAACTGACATCACAAATTCAAAGGATTATAAGAGATTACTATGAATGTTTATATACCAACAAACTAAATAACCTAAAAAAACCGATAAGTTTCTAGATACATACAACCTACCAAAACTGAATCATGAAGAAAGAGAAAATCTAAACACACCAAAAGGAGTAAGGAGATTGAATCAGTAATAAAAAAACCTCCCAACAAAAAAAAGTTTAGGACCTGACGGACTCATTGGTGAATTCTATCAAACATTCTTTAAAGAAGAATTAACACCAATCCCTCTCAAACCCTTCCTGCAAACTGAAGAGGAAGAACACTTCCAAACTCATTTTATGGGGACAGTATTACCCTGATAGCAAAACCAAACAAGGATATTACAAGAAAAAAAAATTATAGGCCAATATTTCTGATGAACATAGATGCAAAAATCTTCAACAAAATATTAGCAAACTGAGTTCAACAGCACATTAAAAAGATCATACACCATGGTCAAGTGGTATTTATCCCTGTCATGTAGGGAGGGCTCAACATACATAAGTCAGTAAATGTAATATGCCATATTAACAGAATAAAGAATAAAAATCATATAAACCTCCCAATAAATAGAAAAAATTTTGACAAAATTCAGTGTCCTTTCATGATAGAAAAAGCTCTCAACAAATTAGGAATCTGTCTCAACAAAATAAAGGCCACATTGACAAGCCCACAGCTAATGTCACACTTAATGGTGAAAAGCTTTTCCTCTAAGATTGGGAACAAGACAAGGATGCCCACTCTTACCACTTCCATTCAGTATAGTCTTAGCCAGAGCAATTAGGCAAGGAAAAGAAATAAAGGTATCCAAATAAGAAAGAAAGAAGTAAAATTGTCTTGTTTGCAGATGACATGATCTTACATATAGAAAACCCTAAAGACTCCACCAAAAAACTGTTAGAACTAATAAACAAATTCAGTAAAGTTGTAGGATACAAAATTAACAAACAAAAATACACTAAACACTAACAATAAACTATCTGAAAAAGAATATGTAAATCATGTTTACAATGCATAAAAAATTAAAAACTTAAAAAAAATACTTAAGAATAAATTTAACTGAGTAGATGAAAAATCTAAAAATTATAAAACACTGATGAAAGAAATGAAAGGAGATACAAATGAATGGAAAGATATTCCATGTTCATGGATTGGAAGAATTAATATTGTTAAAATGTCCATATTACCCAAAGTGATCTACAGATACAATGCAATGTTTATTAAAATTTCAATTGCATTGGTTGCAGAAACACCTAGAAAAAATAATCCTAAAGTTTATATGGAACCACAAAAGACCCCAAATAACCAAAGCAATCTTGAGCAAAAAGAACATGGCTGGATGCATCACACTACCTGATTTCAAAATACACTACAAAGCTACAGTAATCAAAGCAGCATTGTACTGACATAAAAACAGACATATAGACCAATGGAACAGAATAGCAAGCCTAGAAATAAATCCACACATTTATGGTCAATTGATCTTCAACAAAGGTGCATGAATACACAATGAGAAAAGGACAGCCTCTTCAATAAAAGATGTTGGGAAAGTGAAATATCCACAAGCAAAAGAATTAACTTGAACCCATATTTCACACCATATAAAAAAATCAACTCAAATGGATCACAGACATAAATGTAAGACCTGAAACTGTAAAACTACTAGAAAAAAACAGAGAGAAAAAGCTCTTGACACTGGTCTGGGCAATGTCTTTCTAGAATTGACCCCAAAAGCACAGGCAACAAAAGGCAAAAATAGACAAATGGGATTGCATCAAACTAAAAACCTTCTGCAATACAATCAGAACAGTCAAAAGAGTGAAGAGACAACCTACAAGATGGGAGAAAATATTTGCAAATCATACATCTCATAAGTTGTTAATATCCAAACAACTCAATAGCACGAAAAAAATAATCAATTAAAAAATGGGCAAATAAACGTGCATAGCCATTTCTCAAAAGAAGACATACAAATGGCCAATGGTAGGTATATAAAAAAAGGCTCAACATCACTAATTATCAGGGAAATGCAAATAACACCAGAATGAGATATCACCTTACACTTGTTAAAATGGCTATTATCAAAAAGACAAAAGATAACAAGTGTTAGCAAGGAGAAAAGGGAATACTTATACACTATTGGTGGGAATGTAAATTGGTACAGCCATTATGCAATTACAGTATGGAGCTTCCTCAAAAAATTAAAGATAGAATTACCAGCCATCTCACTTATCCACAGGAAATGAAATCAGTATCTCGAAGAGATATCTGCACTTCCATGTTTGTTATGTATATAATGTTTTATATATATGTATGTATGCATGTATACACACACACACACACACACACACACACACACAATGAAATATTATTCAGCCTTAAAAAAAGAAAAGGAGGGGCCGGCCCGGTGGCGCACTGCTACAGTGCGCCGCTTGGGAAGCGTGGTGGCGCTCCCGCCGAGGGTTTGGATCCCACATACAGACTGGCCGCTCACTGGCTGAGCGAGGTGTGGGAGCAACACCAAGGGTTGCGATCCTGTTGCCGGTCCCGGTCCGGTACGGGTGCGACACTGAGGGTTGCGATCCGTTGCCGGTCACGAAAAAAGACAAAAAGGAAAAAAAAAAAAAAGAAAAGGAAATGCTGTCACTTGTAACAACATGGACGAACCTATGGCACATTATCCTACGTAAAACAAGCCAGGCACAGAAAGATAAATACTGCATGATCTCAAGTCAAACTCATAGAAACTGGCTGCCAGGGGCTGGGGGAAGCAGGAGAATGAGGAGACGTTGGCCAAAGGGTACGAAGTTTCAGTTATACAGGACAAATAAGTTCTGGGGATCTAATGCACAGCATGGTGACTATAGTCAGTAATACTGTATTGTATACCTGAAATTTGCAGAGAGAACAGATCTAAATGTTCTCATCTCATGCACACAAAAAGATAACTGAGGTGATGGATATGTTAATTAACCTGATTGTGGTAATCATTTCACAATGTATACATAAATTAAAACATCATATTGTACACGATAAATACATACAGATTTTATTTGTCAATTATAACTCAATAAAGCCAAAAAAAGAGAGAGAAATATATGTAGGAAACTAACAGAGGTATAAAACAGAATGAAAGTTAGTGCTTTAAAAGAAGTCCAAAACAGTTAAAGTGGTAAATATTATGTATATTTTACTACAATTTAAAAAAAAGAGGTTCAAGCAAACTGTTAATGAAATGAACAGGAATGATTAGTTCTAACTGGATGGGCAGTTAGAATGGTTAAGATTTCCACTAACCCTAATTAATCGGCTTTGGGGGAGACAGACACAACCCCTCCAGGAAGGTCACAGTGGCGGGGCCTATGCAGGGTGTTTATGGAACAGCAGTGGGTTACAACAACATATGTCTGTGATAAGATGGGCAATGACAATGAAAAGGCGGGAGAGGACCTTCAAAGGGGAACCACAAAGAGTGCTGGGAAGGGAGAACCATGGGGAACCAGAAGGTGGCAAGACAAGAAAGGCTGCTGTACCTGCCAGGCTTGTGAGGAGGAGGCAGGTGCAGGACAAGGCCAGGGCAGAGGGGTGGAGAAAGGGATAAGAAGGTAGAGAGACTCAATAGCACTTGTGAGTATAAAGAAGGGAGAGAGTATGTTGGGGATGGTGTAGGTACGCTTTATCTCACACCATCGGAGGCTCTTAAAATAAAACTAAAATCCCAGTCTAGAAGAGCAGAATGTATATCAGGAACAGGTAGTCTGATGAGGGCTCAGGAACCACCAGCACTGTCATTTTTTGAAGGAAACTCCCAGTGTTCCCCTAAGCTCCTCTCAAATTCTGTAAGAGCCAGATACAAAGCTTTTCTTTTCTATTTCTTCTTGCCTGTTGATATGGATTGAACTGTATCCCCCAAGTTTTATGCATTAGAAACTTGATCCCCACTGTGACTGATAAGAGGGTAGGAAATCCTATTATGGGAACTGAAAGGTGGGGCCTTGAAAAGGTGATTAGATTCTGAGGACCATACCCTAATGAATGGATTAGTATGGGGTCACGAGTGTGGTTATGAGGGCTTTAAAAAGCACACATGTGAGAGTCTCTCTCTCTCTGCTCTGCCATTTTCTGTCCTGCAAGACACCTGTGTTGCTGTAAAGCCACCACCAAAGAAGACCCTAACCAGATGGGTTCCCTGGACTTTGGACTTCTCAGCCTCTGAAACTGTATGCAATAAATTTTGTTTTCTTACAAATTACCCAGTTCCAGGTATTTTGTTATAAACAACAGAAACAGACTAATACACCTGTCAAGGCCTGTGACTCTTGGAATCTGGGATCTCCTTACCAGCATGGCTTTGCACTGCTTCTGAATGGCTGATCTATGGCTTTTTACAGAATTCCTGCAGTCTCAATGCTGCCATGCTGGCCCCTAACTAACTACCAGGCCATCTGTCCTTTCTGTTTTCATTCAGGAGTTTAGCAAAACACAAATTGTTAGCCTTCAGTTTTGTTGTTCTTTTTTATTTTTATTATTATTATTGTTATTACATTTTTTTGGTAGCTGGCCGGTACAGGTATTATTTTTAATTGACATGTAATATTTGTACATATTTATGGGGTACAGAGTGATATTTTGGTACAATGTGTGATGATCAAGTCAGGCTAATTAGCATAGCCATCTCTGCAAACATTTATCATTTCTTTGTAATGAGAACATCTGAACTCCTCTTTTCTAGCTATTTGAAAATATACAATAAATTATTGTTAGGGTCACTTAGCACTACTATAGAACACTTCTTCCTATCTAGCTGTAAGTTTGTACTCATTAACCAATCTCTCCATACCCCCTCCTCCTAGCCTATACCCTTCCCAGCCTCTACTAGATAATAGTTTATCTAGTAACCACAATTCTACTCTCTACTTTTATAGGCTCAACTTTTTTAGCTCCCAAATATGAGTGAGAATATGTGATATTTACTTTTCTGTGCCTGACTCATTTCACTTAACATAATGTCTCCCAGGTTAATCCATATTGCCTCAAATGACAAAAAAAAATCAATCCAATTAAAAATCAGGCAAATGAGCTGAATAGACGCTTCTCAAAAGCAGACATACAAATGGTCAACAGATACATGAAAAAATGCTCAACATTACTAATCACTATGGAAATGCAAATCAAAACCACAATGGGTGTTTAGAGCAGGGTGTTACAACACCAAGGTCAGGGGTTCAGATCCCTGTATCAGCTAGCCACCAAAAAAACCCACCAAAAAACAAAAAACCCACAATGAGATGCCATCTCATCCCAGTTAGAGTGCCTATCAAAGATACAAAAAATAATAAATGCTGGTGAGGATACAGAAAAAAAGGGAACTCATACAAGTACACTGTTGATGGAAAACAGTATGGAGATTCCTCAAAAAAACGAAAAATAGAACTACCATGCGATCCAACAATCGCAATGAATCAAAGGAAAGGTATTTATTCAAAAAAAGGGAAATCAGTATGTTGAAGAGATATCTGCACCCCCATGTTTACTGTAGCACTATTCACAATAAGCCAAGATATGGAATCAACCTGAGTATTCACCAATAAATAAATGAACAAAGGAAATGTGGTATATGAACACAATGGAATGTTACTTAGCTGTAAAAAAAGTTTGGTTCTTCTATGAAATTATTTGTCTTTCAAAATTACTTGAAAGACAAATAATCCATAGTATTTTGGCCTTTCCCATGGTTCCTATTTCCTACATTCTAAGTTAATTTCATTACTCTATTTCCAAACTTTCCATCTTAAGCTGTGGACCCTAATCAAGTATGAAACTTCTAGTTTCAAAAGCCTGGCACTGATCAGAGCAGAACAGAACGGCTGCTTTGCTCCAAGCACATATGACGATTGGAGTAAACATACCTCATTCTTGTTTTTCGCTGTAGCATCACACTCACTGTTTTCAGGCTTCCTAAGATGCTTCCACCTTCCTCCTTGGTCAAAAGTGATCATAGTCTGTATAGAATTATCTGAATGGGTAAAGAATGACATTAAGCCTGACACACTCAAGCACCCAATGAAATTCAGTTTATCATTGCATTAATTCTCTCCTAACGGAGACAATGTAACACCATTATAACCCTGGAGTCCCACCAGCTTATAATACCTTATAAAACAGCTCAGTGTTGGTGAGTAACTGAGCAGCACTTTATGATATTTGAAGAAGGCTTCCCACCTGAACAGGATCCAATTAATTTCAGAAATCATCTAAGACTGATACTCTTGAAAAAAGATAACTTTCAACTCATACAAACATGAAAAGGCTGATGTCCGTTCTCCTTCCTTGCTTCCTTGCCTTGGAAGTAAACTCTACCATGAAAGGCATCCTAATCTTCACTCAGACAAGGCCATGACACCAGGCTTGTTTTAGGGACTCTCAAGATTTGAATATGTGTACATAAGAGCAGATTAAAAATTTCTAATTATCGTCTCGCCACTACCCAATATCCTATCCCTCATAACTTTTCTTTTTTTCTTATATTTCTTCTTTTTTCTCTATTTTCAGTGACATAAACTGCTGCAGGCTTAAATTCAGAGAAAATATCTTTTGAGATTTCTAAGAAAAACCAAACAAGAAAGCAAATGAAATAAAATTCATTTACTTAGCAAACATTTACTGAATGCCCACTATGTGAAAACTGCTGTAAGCCTTTGGGAATACATCAATGAACAAAACAGACAAAAAATTTTGTGAACTATACATTCTAGCATGGTGAGACAAACATTAGACATGATAAATAGGTAAATTATATAGTATGTTCGAAAATAAATGCTATGGAAAAAAACTTGCACAGCTAAAGGTGGATAGGGAGTGTGTGTGTGTGTGTGTGTGTGTGTGTGTGTGTGTGTGTGTGTGTGTGAGGAAGGGAGGGCAGACTGGAATTGAAAATAGGGTAGTCAGGGCAGGTATCATTCAGAAAGTAACGTGAGCAAAGACTTGGAGGAGGAAAAGATATCAGCCTTGCAGATACCTGGGGAAACCGAGGGAACTGTCAGTGCAAATCTCTAAACTATGAATGTGTGTACCTGGTGTGTTTAAGGACTGCTAGGGGGCTAGTGTGACTGCTGTAAGCAAATAAAGGAGAAAAGAGTGGAGGTGAGGTCAAGGAGGAAAACAGGGAGCCGATATCGCTTAGGACCTGGTAGGCCACTGTAAGGACTTTACAAAATAAAAACAAACAGCCCCTACCTCCTACTAATAAATAAATACATAAATAAAATAACATTGTAAGAGTCTTTGTACGAAACTTGAGAGTAACGTGTTTATTTGTGTAACTGGGCCTTGGTAAAAGCAAGCTCTGCAGAGCCATTGAGTTGAACACAAAACGGCTCTTGACTGGCTGTTGCTGTGCCCTTGACAGGAAGAGCAAGAAATGGCTCAGATTCAGGCTTATCCCCATAGGCCTACACCTCCCAATGTAGAAGACTCATTTTGTAAACTAAACAACATAGACTCCAAAACATCTTTCTTCCTACCTGCTGTTGCTTTGGTCTCTCCTAGTTCTATATACATAACTTACTTAAGATAGGGAGTCAGAATTTACATGGGTAGGCTTTTTGGTTAGGCAAGCGACATTACTGGAGGGACAGGACCATCAGTTTCCCCGAAAGCTTCAAATCCTAACACATTCAGCTGCAGGAGCAGGGCAGAACAGGTGTGCCAGGACTTACCTTCAGAGAGTACACTTGTTATGTAGACCCCACGGAGAGAAGTCACATTGGTAAAGTCTGTTTCTCCGCCTGTGGTAGTGTAGAGATGCCGGTCCAAAGACTTGGAATAGATAATGCCTCGGTCATCTGAGGTAAAGATTGTGCCAAATCCGGTATCTGAAATAGGCAAACAAACAAAAACACTAAGTTTTGAGAGGGAACAGAGGGAAAAACAACCATAAACATGACTGCCTAACTGATCAAACACATTAGCCAATGGTTTCTCTTCATGATGGAGATGCAGACCTGAGTATTAATCAAAGTTTGATACTCAAAATCTTCATGCTCATCTTAAATTCTAGTACCCCGCTTAGTGCCTACAATATGGTAAATGCTCAGTTTGTGGAATGAATTAATCAGATGCTACAGAAAACTCTTCCTAAGTATATTTTGGTGGCAGAGACACTGTATTTAGATTCATATTTTACACATTTCTAAATCTTTGTACTCTAGAACAATGCTTCTCAAACTATCTGTGGTAAAGGATTATTTTTTATTTCCATTATGTCACAAAACCGATGCTTTTGTAAAATATAATAAAAACTAGTTACTAGAAAAATTAAATAGAAAAAAAAGACAAAATCTAAGCCCCCAATTTTTTATCATTACATTCAACTGACATAAAATTACTTCGTCAAATGGCTATAAATGTTTGCTCTCCATTTCTGTACTTATCTGGTAACAGAGAGCTTGAGTATCAGTCTGCCAACGATTCTTTGAGCAACTCTGCTCTAGAACACTTGAAAATACACGAATTATAATAGCATATGAAAACAAGGGGTCTTTTTTAACAGAGACTACATATTATCTCTATGAAAGAGTAATCAGTAAAACACTAACACATTTTTAGGGGTAAGAGGAAAAACTGATATGTAAGAAGGAGAGCTGATCAAAGATTAAATCTCTGTGCTCTCCAGGGTGGCCACTAAGAAGCTCTTACCTCCAGGTTCATCTACATGCATGAACACCATGTCATCATTAGCTGCCAGAATAGAATAGAACTGTTCCTGCCCCACGGAGGGGAGCTGGGCCATGCTCCATGTGTCCCCTTGATCTGTTGACACATGGATCCTTCTTGAGGTATCCTGGAACAAATGCCGATATTCATCTTTTAATTTTTTTGCTAAGATGCCATGTTCAGGGAGACATCAACAGCAACATTTTTAATAATTTTATCATCCTTATTTCACTGAGTACAACTGGTATAAATGAAAGGTCACAGTACCAATTACTAAAGCAGTTTCCAGGCACTGGAACAATCCACTCTACTGTAGGTAAGGTAATCTTTGCCTTCTCTTTTGCTTCTTTATTCTGGTATGGTCCTGTAAGATAGTATCCTCCTAATCTCTGATATTCCATCTCCTTCAATAGAGCTAAGGATTTGATATGACTATCATTAGCTTGGCTTGACAGCCATTCACATATACTTGCTCAGATAATTCTTAAAATGATGATTGATGCATAAAAGTTTGGTCGCTTTCAGACAGTCTGGGCATAATCCAAAGAATTAAATAATTAAAGGTCTAGAACATGGAGATGAAACCCATTCTTGGGAAATCATAAAGGGAGTGAAGATGTAACATCCTGCCTCTTTAAGGAAGTCTCTCAGAATAGCCATAATGAAGGGAACATGCACGGCCTGGGAAGAGGCTGAGGAGAGTCAGAAACTACTGTAAGAAATCTGATCAGGGAGTATTTGGCTAGTAAAAGGAATCTGATAAGAAGGCAATTAAAAATAACTCTCTAATAAATAGCTTAAAATAGCTACTAGACACAGTTAACCAGGGCATGAAAATTAATCTCAGGGCCTCCTCAGGTTAAATACTCTTTGAAGTTCGGTGATAAGAACATTTAACTTACTTCTTTAACTTATACTGAGATGTCTAATACTTGGAATCTTATTCTCATTGCTATAGGTAGAAACTAGAGTTCAAAAGCACATAGCAGAATTTTAATTTTGTAGAGAGTAGTAGGATAGCACAGGAGGTTATAACGAGGCTCCCTCTGGAATCTGACAGTCTGATTTCCCTGAGGGTTCCAACCACTGGGTGAACCCAGGCACCTTACTCAATTTTCTCATCTAAATTAGTTCACAGGGCTGTGGGGAGGATTACTACAAAACTGCTCGAAAGAGCTGTCTGTACTTACTGCGTCTATTTCCCCCTCCAGTTCTCTCTGAAGCCACTTCATCAGTCTTTTAACCTCCCTACTCCAATGAAGCTGCTGTTGCCAGGCTCAGCAACAACCTCCGCTTTGCCAACTCCAGTGAATACTTTTCAGAACTCATCTAACTCAACCCTCTCAATCGAGTTTAACACAGATAATCACTTCCTCCTCCTTGAAACGCTTTCTTCATTGGCTCTTGTGATATTCCACTGTCCTGATTCACCCTACACCTCACTGATCCCTTCCTCTCCAGCAACTCATCTTTGCTGGGGTCTTCTTCTCTTTCCTGCCTTTCAGTGCGGGGTGCTTCAGGATTTGCTCATTCCTTCCATCTCTTTTCTACCCACTCATTCCTCCAGAAGATATCTAGTCACACGGTTTTAAATACCATATCATTTTGGGAGACTCGTACACCCAAATGCTTACTTGACATTTCCACTTAGATATCTAAGAGGCATTACACATCCGAAACTGAATTCTTTATTTTTCTCCCCAAACCCTGCTCCTCCTGCAGGCTTTGTCATCTCAGAAAAGGACACCACCATTTACCCAGCTACTCAAGTCAAAGACTCCACTCATTCTCCTTGTTTCCACTCATTCTCTCACAACCCACATCTAATCCATAGGCAAGTCCTATTAGCAATACGTTTAAAAATACATCCACAGTCTCACCACTTCTCCCCTCATCCACTGTTAAAAACCTGGGCCAACCTACCACCTTTCACCTAGACTACTGTAACAGCCTCCATGTAACAGTGGCTTCCATTTTTGCCCTGTCAGTCTATTTTGTACACACCTATTCTGTCAAAAAAGAAGCCAAATTGTGTCATTCCCCTAATCACAACCCTTTTGCAGCTCTCCAACACACAAAGAATAAAAGCCAACATCTTCATCATGACCTACAAAGGCCCTGTATGATCTGGCCACGGGCTCCCCCTCGCCTCACTTCTGACCACTCTTCTCTGTGCTCTGGCCACACTGCCGTTCTCCCCTTTCCTCCATAACTGAGTGTGCTCCCTCCTGCTGGTCTCTGCACTTGCTGTTTCCTTGGCCTGCTCTCCTCCCAGATGTCCACACAGTCATGCTCTCACTTCAATTAGGCTTCAGAGAGCCCACCCAAATCACCCTATCTAAAACAGGACGGCTCCAATTCCTGCCACTTTCCATTTCCTTAGTCTGCTTTAGATTTCTTAACAGCTTTAATTATTACCTGATATATCATATTTATTTGTTTAGTATTTATCTCCTCACTTGAATATAATCTCTGAGAGCAGGAAATTTATCTGTTTTGTTCACTGCTATATTCCTGGAACCTAGAATAGCACCTAGCATATAACGGCACTCAAATGTTACCTCTTTTATTATTATTATTGGATAATGAGCAAGTGGATTGCTTTTTTCGGCTATCTATGTCTGAGTAAAGGCCAAACACTGGATCTACATATCCCAAAAAAGATACCAGGATTTGCGTGGTGACAGAGGCCAAAGGGCACAGTTACCCATTGAGTCAACCAGCCTCTGTAAAAAGATTCACTCCGAAACCTTAAAGTGATAGTAAATATTGCAAAAAGACAAGAAACTGTCAGTACTAAGTAGTAAAGGGGATCTATATGACGCATATTTACAGAAATACCAGACCCCAAAGAGATGAAGCGAATACCCACCTTATCAGCCATCACAGAGGCAAAAAGGAAACGTCCCCCAAGACCAAATGAATAGATTTTCACGCCAATGGTTTTGAAGCTTTTACCCAAGTCTGAAGTTCTCCATAATTCCAGTGCCCCAAGGTCAGCTTCTTAAACAAGACAAAATATTAATCAAAATTTCATTTACTAGTGAGCCAAGTCAAAAATGGCTATTTTAGAGTGGCTCTTAATTTTATAGCTAAAGCATTTTTAATCTTATCCATGTTGATCAAGTGACATTATGAGAGGACTTCAAAAAGTTCATGGAAAAATGGAATTAAAAGATAAAAATTAAAAAAATCAAATTTTATTTCTCTACATAGGCCCCATCAAGTTCAAGATACTTTTTTAAGTGATGATACCAGCCATTTAGTCCATACCTAAAGAACTGAGGGTCCTGGGGATTTAACCATGTCAATCCAGTCTTTTTTTTTTTATATTAAATGAAGAAAAATCGGTGCCCTTTAAAGATTTCTTAAGATTAGGGAACAAAATCAAGTCAGAAAGAGGCAAATCAGGACTGTAAGTTGGATGTCTAATGATTTCCCATCGAAATTCTCACAAAATTGCCCATTTGATGAGAATAATGATCAGGAGGAGCATTGCCATGGTAGAGAGAGCTCTCTGGTGAAGCTTTCCAGGGCATGTTTCTGCTATAGCTTTGGCTGTCTGAAAACACTCTCCTAATAGGCAGATATTATCATTCTTTGGCAGTTCTGAAAGTCAGCAAGAAAAATGCCTAAGCATCTCCAAATATTGTTGCTATGACTTTTGCTCTTGACTAGTTTGCTTTTGCTTTGACTGGACCACTTCCACCTCTTGGTAACCATGGCTTTGACTGTGCTTTTGTCTTCAGGATCATACTGGTCAAAGCCATGTTTCATCTCTTGTTACTATTCTTCCCAGAAATTCTTCTGGATTTTGATCCCACTTGTTTAAAGTTTCCATTGAAAACTCTGCTCTTGTCTGCAGCTGATCTGGATGCAACAGTTTTGGCATCGAGCAGAAAGTTCGCTCAACTTTTTTCAGTCAGAATTGGGTAAGCTGAATCAATTGAGATGTCTATGGTGTTGGCTGTTGTTTCTGCTGTTAACTGTTGGTCTTCTTCAATTAGGGCATGAACAAGACTAATTTTTTCCTCAAAAATTGATGTGGATGGTCTGCAGCCATGGGTTTCATCTTCAATATTGTTTCATCCCTTAAAATGAGTTATCCACTTGTTAACTGCTGATTTCTTTGGGGCATTATCCCAACAAAATTTATCCAACAAAACAAAGCATCAATGATTTCATCAGTCTTCCATTCCAGCTTCACCATAAATTTGATGTTTTAGGGGGCCGGCCTGTGGCTCACTCGGGAGAGTGCGGTGCTGATAACACCAAGGCCACAGGTTCGGATCCCATATAGGATGGCCAGTTTGCTCACTGGGTGAGCGTGGTGCTGACATAAATTTGATGTTTTAGGGGGCCGGCCTGTGGCTCACTCGGGAGAGTGCGGTGCTGATAACACCAAGGCCACAGGTTCGGATCCCATATAGGATGGCCAGTTTGCTCACTGGGTGAGCGTGGTGCTGACATAAATTTGATGTTTGCTCTTGCTTTAGTTTTAGCAGAATTCATGGTGCTCTGTGATATGGATTGTGTCCCCCAAGTTTTATGTATTAGTAGCCTGATCCCCACTGTGACTATTAAGAGGGTGGGAAATCCTATTAGGGTAATTGAAAGGTGGGGCCTTTCAATTGTAGGACCGTGCCATAGTGAATGGACTAATAATGGTGGTCAGGGCTGTGGTTCAGAGGACTTTAAAAGAAGAGCACATGAGAAGTAGTCTATCTCTCTGCTCTGCCATTTTCTGTTATGTGAGGCTCCTGGGTCACTGTCACCACCACCAATACTGTCACCAGATGTATTCCCTAGACTTTGAACTTCTGAGCCTCCAAAATTATCAGCAATAAATTTTTCTTTATAAATTACCCAGTTCTGTGTATTTTGTTATAAGCAACAGAAATGGACTAATACAGAAAACTGGTACCAGAGAAGTGGGGTGTTGCTTATAACAAATACTTGAAAATGCAGAAGCAGCTCTGGAACTGGGTAATGGCAAAGGCTGGAAGAATTTGAAGGAGCAGGCTAGAAAAAGCTTAGATGCTGGTGAAAGTTTAGAAGACAAGAAAACCAGAGAAAGTTTGGAATGTTTTAAAGACTGGTTAAATGGTGGTGAGCAAAATGCTGATAGAAATATGGACAGTAGGGCCGGCCCGGTGGCGCACTGGATAGTGCGCCGCTTGGGAAGCGCGGCGGCGCTCCCGTCCGAGGGTTCGGATCCCACGTACAGACCGGCTCCCGCTCACTGGCTGAGCGAGGCACGGGAGCAACGCCGAGGCTTGCGATCCCGTTGCCGGTCCCCGGTCCGGTACGGGGGCAACACTGAGGGTTGCGATCCGTTGCCGGAAACGGAAAAAAGACAAAAAGACAAAAAAAAAAAAAGAAATATGGACAGTAAAGGCCATACTGAGAAGATCTCAAATGTAAATGAGAGGAAGTTTACTGGAAACTGGGGCAAAGGTCACCCTTCCTATGAACTGGCAAGGAATTTGGCTGCATTCTCTTCATGCCCCAAAGTATTATGGAACGTGGAACTTAATGGTGCTGACCCACGATATCTGGTGGAAGAAATTTCTAAAGAGCAAAAACATTCAGGAAGCCTCATGGCTACTTGCAACAGCCTATTCTGAATTACAGCAGCAAAGGCATGATGTAAAGCTAGAATTTAAAAGGGAAGCTGAGCATAAAGATCTAGAAAATTTGCAGCCTGTCCATGTAGTAGAGAAGCAGAGAGTATTTTGAGGAGAACAAGTCAATGGTGTATCCCAGTGCCCATTTGCTAAGGAGATTAGTGCAGAAGAAAGGGATTACCAAGAGAAGGGAAAAAAAGACCTTGAAGGCATTAAAAAGACCTTAAAGGCATTTCAGAGATCTTTGAGGCTGTCTTCTTCCATTACAGGCTCAGAAGCCTAGGGTGATAGAATGGTCTTGGGAAAAGGCCTGAGACACCCTCCATGGGCTTACTGCCCAGGGCCACCTTGGGAAGCTGTTCCCCACACAAGCACCCCAGTTGCTTTGGCTGTTCCAGCTGTGGCTCAATTGGCCTCAGGTGTGGCTGGACCCACAACTTTGGAAGATGCAAGCAACAAGCCTTGGCTGTGTGCATGTGCTGTTAGGTCTGCAGGCCCGCAAATGCCAGAGCTGTGGAGGCTTGGGGGCCTCTACCCCAATTTCAACAGATGTATGGAAAAATCCTGGGGGCCCAGGCAGACAGCCTTTCCTAGAGCAATGCCAAGTGGGAATGTGGGGTTGGAGCTGCAGCAGAGAAACCTCATCAGCATCATGCCTAGTGGAGCTGTGGGAGTGGGCCCGCCATGGAGACCCCAGAACTGCAGAGCTACCAGCCTGTGAGAGCTGAAGCATGGCCTCACCCTTGGGGAGCCTAACCCTAACACAGTGTGCAGAGGACACTGAACATGGAGTCAAGGATCTGACAGCTTTGGGATTTAATGCCTGCCCTCCTGGGTTGTGAACTTGCTTAGGACCTGTTAACCCTTTCTTTTGGCCTATTTCTCCCTTTTTGAATAGGAATATGTATCCTATGCTTGCCCCACCATTGTATCTTGGAAGTAGATAACCTGTTTTGAAGATAAGACATTGAGACTTTGGATTTTTGAGTTGAAACAAGTTAAGTCTTTGGGGATAGAATGAATGTATTTACCTGTGAGAAGGACATAAACTTTGGGGGCTAGGAACAGAATAATACAGATTGTGTCCCGCAAGTTTTATGTATTAGTAGCCTGATCCCCACTGTGACTGTTAAGAGGGTGGGAAATTCTATTATGGTAATTGAAAGGTGGGGCTTTGAAGAGGTGATTAGATTGTAGGACCATGCCATAGTGAATGGATTAATAATGGTGGTCAGGGGTATGGTCTGGAGGGCTTTAAAAGAAGAGCACATGAGAGGTTAGTCTCTCTCTTTGCTCTGCCATTTTCTGTCATGTAAGACCCCTGGGTGATTGATGCCACCACCAAGAGCCTTACCAAATATATTCCCTGGACTTTGGACTTCCCAGCCTCTGAGAGTGTAAGCAATAAACTTTGTTTTCTTTATAAATTACCCAGTTCCATGTATTTTGTTATAAGCAATAGAAATGGACTAATACACTGATAGGGGCTCTTTTCACACTGATGTTATCCTTCTTAGTGCCTCAAACTAGATCCTCTTCAGACACGTTGTAACAAGTTAGTATGAGTTGATTTTGGTGCAAAAAAATTTTGAAATCCATGCATAGTTTTTTCATAACATGTATTTTCCATGAACTTTTTGAAGACCCCTCATATAAATGTGATACGGCATCAGATATAGGGAATTCACATTTGGGTTTTATTTTACATATGTGAGATTTTATGCTAGATGGGAAGATAGAGGTTACTTAATTCCAATATAGTGTTGCATAAAAATATCACAACCATGTCATCTGCTTTACCTTCTTCATGGCAGTTTGAAATTATCTTATTCTTTTTTATTTTTATTTTGGCAGCCAGCCAGTATAGGGATCTGAACCCACGACCTTGGTGTTATAAGGCTGCTCACTCACCAACTGAGCTAACTGTCGAGACTGGAATTCTTACTCTAACTTGTCCTGTTTGAATTCTGGTTTTCTTGTTCATCGTTCGACGGGCCTACTTGAACTTACATTCCATGAGAGCAGGCCTTGGGTATTTTGTTCTCTCTATCCTTAGAATAGCGTTTATCATAGATCAGGTACTCAAATATTTGATGAATGAATAAATCAAAGATTTTGCTCTCTGCTTTCAAATTGTGCCATAGATTAAGAAGCCAATAGCTTCCACTAACACAAATGCAATCCATTCTCTTTTGCAGAAATCACTATGCATTTTAATTTGTTATTGTTTGTAGCCTAATATATTTGCTTATATAATCATGTTGTTAAAATTAAGTACGGCCTACATTTTTATTTGATCTGGGCATAGTGAAGTAATTTGGTTGTACTTTCAAGATTGAGAAAATCATTAACAGCTATGTTTAGCTTTTAAAGTTTCAGAAGAATGGAAGGATCTTTCATGTTTCTACCTCGCAAAACCCAGGACATTCTACCATGAATGAACAACAGAACACTCTTCTGGGACTAAAATATACTTACTGCAGGAGCCATTCACATAGGTGGTGAAGAAGACGATGTTTTCTGATCCCCTACAATAAGGCAAAGACAGGGAAAAGAAATGATTTAAGATTGCTAATGGAGTGTGTCAACCTTAATCACAAAGCTCCTAGGAAGCCTAACAAGCTCCATCCACACGTACCAGCTGACACAGCCTTCACAGGTGCTGTGCATCCCATTCTTCCACAGCCCTGCCAGTCAAGCTCCCCATAGCCCTACGAGTTTTCCATAGTCCCTACTTCTTTATATGAACTCTTCCAGCCAGTCAAACTGGTCTACTTACACTCTCCAAATGTGCCTCTTGCATTTGCTTATACTGTTTCCTTCCAAAAACACTTTTCTCTTGTAACCAAATCTTACCCTTACAATAATCTGGCTCCAGCTTAAAATTTAGCTTTTACGTGAGCTTTCCCTGTCACTCCAACTGGAAGTCTCCTTCGCTGCAAACTTCTGGAGCAGCAGTCCTCAACTAGGGACAATTGTGCCTCCCAAGGGACATCTGGCAAGGTCTAGAGAGACTTTTTGTTTTCATAGCTGGGGCTGGGAAGAGGGGACAAGAGTCGTTACTAGCGTCTAGTGGGTAGAGGCCAGGGATGCTGCTAAACATCTTACAATGCACAGGACAACCCTCTCCTTGCCCCCAAATGTCATTATTGCTGAGGTTGAGAAACCCTGCCATTCTGCACCAGCCACTTGGCACTCATTTGGCTTCTTCAGGGCAGGTACTCAGTTTTATGCTTTGTTGTTTCCCCTCAGAATCTAGTTCAATGTTTTGTATGAGCTAAATAATTTAGTTCTTTCATCTCAAATAGACAACTAGGTCAGAGGTTGAATTATTTAAAATGTAACTAGGAAAGGCAGCTTGCAGGGAACTAGATTCAGACACTGATAGTACTTATAGATTACCACCAGCAAAAGGTTCTGGGTTTGAGCATGTTCTTTCAGAACTTTAGACTGTGAATTCCTAGAAATCAAAGATCTAAAAGGTGAGTAAGCAGTGCAGCAGCCCAGTTGCCTTATATTTTAGACACTAAACAAAAAAATGTTTTACAAAAGTAAAATACCTTGCATAGGACATGAAACAGAATACCGTTTTAAAATAACCTTTTAGTTTTAAAGATGAGTTTCAATAATCAAAATTACTATACTCTTAATCATGTCCCACATATTTTAGGTCCATCAGGAATGGAACAATTTAACTTAGTTACCTTAAAATTCCTTCCTTCCTGTTACATTGTATAAGGTACAAACACAATTCATTAAAACATAAAAGGAAAGCAGATGTGGCATGCCTCACATGGTGGGGCTCTAAAAACCTCACTTAACAAGCATTTCTGAAAAAAGTCCACTTTATTTAAACAACCTTTCTAATATTTAATTAATTTTGGTCGACAAAGTTTGAATCTATATTACACATTTTAGTACAATAAACTCTTTTTTGGGATTACGTGTCATCACCATGAATATCAGCCATACCAAACTATAATACAGTGCTCCCATTAGTAGTTACTGAAGTATGTGTCCTTTTTTGATCTAGCACTAGAAAATTTCATGCTGGTATATTCTCTTAAGTTTTTGTCTGATCTTTCACGGTTTTTCTGCCTCCTTCCAGCTCTCAACCTGCAATTCTGATGCTGCCATGTGTTTGTGGCTGGCAGCCACATGTCCTGCCTTTGGCAGAAATCTGCTATAAATTGGGAAACCAGATTAACAAACTTGTTGAAATTGTCAAAGGGAAAGAAGAGGCTCTAAACTAGGGTCAGAGCCTTATCAGAATTTTGGGAGTGTGAAGGCTCTTAATTCAGTTCTTGCTCAACTCCCCACCCCCCACATTTCCAAACAGATCTTTCACAGAAGGAAAAACCTAAAGCCCAGAGAGGTTAAGCCACTGACTAGCAGAGCCAGGCTAAAACAAAGGCGACTTGATTCCCAAGTAAGAGCTCCCTCTACTACATCATCTTTAAGCAGGTACATGGTGGGGCTGAGGTAGGGGGCAGGGCGTCCCGCCAAGAGAAGTGAATGAGTTTTGGTGCACAGACAGTGTGACTCTGGCAGTCTGGAAGCTCTTTCGGCTTTCTGCCTAATTCCCTGCTATGTTCTACATAACTGAAATGGGTCTCTAGACAAGGGAGTGTAAATCTAGGTGCAGAGAAGTATTTAAATTCCGAAATTAATGCTGTATTTTAATACATTCCAATTGATTTTCACCATTTATAGAGAATAAACCTTTGGCAGGTAGCAGCTACCCAGTCATGTGCCTTGTTTTATACTTTATATTCTAACATTTAGTGAGACTAAGTCTTCTTTTCCAGCAGAATTACAAGCTCCTCCAGGTCAAGGTCTGTGTCATACCCCTCTCTGGTATCCCTTATGGCACCCTGAAAAGTACTTGGCACATAGTAAGTGCTCAATATTTATTCATGTAACTTTTGGCAGCACTATCAGGAAAGGTTTAGGGCTCTGCACAGATGGATTCTTCTGTTACTCACCATTTGGCCAAACACACTGCTTTGTGGATTTCTTCCCATTTTCCCCCAAAATTCTTGGACACCCACAGGCCATTCTGAAAGATTATAAATGACTTATCAAAATTCCAGCTTTATCCTGTGCAGCTGCTTGTATGACCTTTAATAATTCATATCCAATCATTCAGGACAGTAAAAACACACACTGAAGTTCCATCAGAGCTGCCTGAGCTCTATAGACACACATGGTTTATCCAGGCCCCTCTGGGGTCTTGTAAGTTCAGAATAACATAAATGAGTACGAAGTGCCTACTATGTGCCAGGCACTGTACCAGATGTTGCACTGGGGATACAAAAATGAATAAGACACACTCCGTGCTCTCAAGTAGCTCACAGTTTCACAAGGGGCACAGATAAGAAAAAAGTTCAATACAATGTGGTAAGTGTTATGGAAACACGGTCTAGTGTTTCTAACTGGGGAGAGGCAGGATGTTGAATTAGAGAGTTTCCTGATGAAGATAGTGGCACTGAGTTTTAAATGATGAGCAGTGTAACCAAAGAAGGCAAGCAGGAAGATGAGGTGTTACTGCACTCAGACAGACTAGTAGTAGCAAAGACAGTGAGGTGATAAAACACTGCAGTGTGTGCAGGGAGCTAAAACCCACCAGACATTAATGGAGTGCAAATTCCAAGGGGAGCAGGTGAGGAACTAACACTAGGGAGAAAGGTGAGGGCCAGCTCATGGAGAGCCTTCCTCCCATGCCATATTGCGGAATCTGGTTTCTATTGTATATGAGATGCCCTCAAGAGGAAGGAGCTTTAAGCAGAGGAATGACATGGTCAGCTTCACTTTTTGAGGTGGAGTATTTTGATTAGAATGAGAAAGATGGATTTCAGAGGGTCCAAACTAGAAGTAGGAAAAGCAGTGAATAACTGCCACATTAGTTCAGTAAGAGTTAATGAGGTCTTGAATCACAGTAGTGAGGAAGAGGCTCAGCAAGAATTTAGTAGCTATAATAGTAGAACTGGATGACTTTTCCTGTAAGGCAGGTGTCTCAAAGTCGTTTACTTTGGGTTTCTCGTTGCGGTATAGGATGCACTGTGGTATCATTACTAGTGTAAGGATTAAGGGAAGAAAAGCAGGTATAGAGAAGAGCAGGAGAAGTAGTTCAGTTTTACACTGAGTGTGAGGTGCCTGTGGGACATCCAGACAGAGATACCCAGGGGGCCACAAGATAGAAATCTGATGCCTGAGGTGGAAGCCAGGTCTAGAGATAAGAATTTGAGAATCTTACACATTATAAATGGTAGTTAAATGGCAAGAGTGGAAGAGACTGCTCAGAGTAAAATGAGCAGTAGGCATTTAAAGATAGGTTGAAAGGAGTTTAAGAAAGACCACAAGAAAGATCAGCCAGAAAAGGTAGAACCAAAGGGAATGATGTCACAGAAGCTAAGAAGTAAAATTCTCAAAAGAAGGGATTGGCCAACACTTTGAAGTGCAGTAGAAACAATAAGATGAAGACTGAAAATGTCAATTATACTGGCGACACCAGATTACAGAACTCAGCTTTAGTGGAGGTGAGACAGAGATGTGAAATCAAATGGGGCCAATTTAGGCAGAATTTATTTTCAGTGCGCTCCCACCCTCACCTACCATTCTCCTCTAACCTTTCGTCCTCTGGTAATATGCAGCTCCCAGCATTTCTAATGCACCTAATTCTACTTATAAAAAACAAGGGTCTGATATCACTTACTTGCACTTTAGTACAAATTGGTCCATCTTCTCTACCTGAATTATTTATACTGCAAACTTACCCTTATAGTTGGAAGAAATTTCAGTTATAAAAGCAGATTGTACCTGCCTCTTCCTGAGGATAGCCCTGATTTAATAACTTTGAGATATCTGGTAATGGAGATGAGGTGGTCAAAGGAGAGATCTATGGTTCTGTCCATTCCTATGGAGGTTTCCTTGCTCCCTTGTAGGGCCTTCAGCTCAAGTTGCTGGAGGCCAGTTTCCAGGAATTGTTGCTCTAAGATCTGAAGTCTACTCCCAGCAAGCTAGTTTCCTTCCTCTGGCCTCCACTGGCTAAGTATAAACCTGATCTTCCCAAAGCCCTCCAGTCTCACCTCTGCTCAAAGATCTCCCCACAGAAGGCCCAGAATCCAGACCCTCTTCCAGTACTCTTCATCCTTTTTATGCCACCCTTTACTCAGCCTGACTGGTCCACAGTTGATGATCCTATTTCTGACCCCAGAACAGTCAACGCAGCAATGGCTCTCAAATTTTAGTGTGCAGGCTCTGCTGTGGAGCTTGTTAAAAATATTAGCCACCCTGCAACCAAAAGTCATTGATTAATTATATCTGAATTGAGGACTAGGGATTTGTATCTTAAACCAGCTCCTCACATGTTTCTTTCTGAGGCTGCTGCTCATTAGACACATTCTAAGAAATAAGATGAGAGAGAACCCTATAAATGTAAAGTATACTTATGATTATCATAATCTAGCAACTCAGCCACTTTGGGCCCTTAATGTCCATAATAAAGGAGATTGGTCCTACAGGTGAATGTGCTCCTCAGAGAACTTTCAGAGAGTGGGGAGGGTGAGAGGGATGCTGGCTTCTGGGGAAAATACAGGAATGTGGTGGGGGGTGCAGGGACTTGACACTTTGGATATTTAATACATGAGTATCAAAGACAGAAATCAACATGCTTTATATACCGAGGAACTAACAAAAACGAAAAAATCATAAAGATCTTGTCTGGCCACAGGAGAGGAACAACATTAGGAGCTTGACAATTTATGCTTGTTCCTTGCAGCACAAGAATGATTACATTAAACTGTTTTCTAGTTCATTACTCCAATAGCACACACCTATTCACTTAAAAAAAACTGTGACAACTAGATATCATACTTACCTGGAATAGACAGCACATGAAAACTGTAGCCTTTGCCAAATAGGAAAAAAATGCAAAAGATACATACTTCATGCCATAAGCAGACACCAGAAAGAAGTCTACTATAAAAGCATTATCTACAGGGTCCTTCTAAGACAATATATTTTGAGACTATAAAAATGCAAAAGGCAGGCCAGTTACTTGACTGGACTTACTTCAGTGCTGAGGGCTAAAAGATAATCAGAATTCTGAGGGCTATACATCATCTGAGTCAGAGGATGAAAAGGAAGATCTGTCTGAACAAAGTTCTTTGCAAAATCTGATGATCTGAAGATTCTTCCTCCACGACTTCCTCCAGACACCTCTGCTGTTAATATCACCTGATCAAGAAGAGGAAAAAACAGATTCAGGGTAGGATACGGTAAGAGCACAGGAAGTTTTTGCACTATTTTCACCAGGTATTAGTTAGAAAATTTTAGTTCCAATAGTAAGAGGAGTTATAAAAAAGGTTAGTTGCTCTACTTTACTCCTCAGGTCTTAGTCTTAACAAAAAATATCATCCTAAATTGAGCTAGTGCATAATACTTGTGATTTGAGCCTAGTCAGTTTGGAGATTAGTCAGTTTCCCAAAAAGACTAAAATGTTGTCATAGGGAGTATATATTCTAACACTACACAACTGTTGCATAGCTATGAAGGGTTTTGGTGCATCTTGGACAGGGATCAAAAAAAGAAATCTGTATGCTTAATTCCATTCTTTTTTGATTAGCATTAAATTATGTTTAATTTTAAAATATAACAATAGTAAACTAAAATACATCATTGTGCATCACTGGATTGTTCCAATACTAATATATGTACGACAGCCCTGCATGTGGTATCAAACACAAACATTACACATGCAAGAATGACTCTCACCTTTCCAGAGTTCTCAGGACCAATAGCCATGCCAAATTCAGTTCGAATGAAGGTGTTATTGATGAGATTTGTAATATCCTTAAAGTTCTTTCCATAATCCTCACTAAATGGAAGAAAAAAAGGCAAATTTAGAGTACAAGGTCATGGATATTGTTGGGTTCCTACCCAGCTTCTGTTCCCCCTTTCCACTGACTTTATTAAGGCACTCACCCCTCCCCTGAACAGTCACATCCGTCTGAGGGAAATTCCACCCCCTTCACCAGTGATGGGTTCAGGAATGGGAGAGAGACCCAGGTTGAGCCAATGAAACAAAAGGGGGAAATCTGGGGTCTTTGAGGAAACATTTCTTCACACTTAAGATAGCACTTGATGAAATGGTTGTCCTCCTTCAGATCAGTGGTTCTCAACCAGGGTGTTTCTGCCCTCCAGGGAACATTTGGTAATGTCTAGAGACATTTCTGATTATCAAAACTCAGGGTTGAGGTGCTACTGGCATCAAGTGGATAGTGGCCAATGATGCTGCCAAACATCCTACAATGCACAGGACAGTCTCACAACAACAAAGAATTATCTGGCCCCAAATGTCAATAGAACCAAGGTTGAGAAACCCCCACGATGTAGTATGTGAATGCAAAGCAAAAAGTCACTATAGTCATTTTGTCACAATGAGAGCACAGCTGAGGTAAGTCTGGAATCCCAAAGGAGCACAGCCTATGACAATAGATTGAACTGACCCTGAAGCCTGTCCTTCCTCTGTATTTAGTAATATGAACCAAGAATTTCCTTATGATTCAAGCTAGTTTGAGTTGGGATCTCTGCTAAATGCAGCCAAAGGTGTCTTACCTGCTGTATTAATCCACAGTACTTATGATAAAGCTATAGGTTAAGTAGCAGAGATCTTGAAGTTTTTCCCCCTAGAGGTTACTATCCTAGGCACAAGTCTTGAATTCATGCAGCCCACGAAACACAGCAAAACAAACTCAATCTCAACTCTTGGGTTCTCAAAGCTTTTTCCAAAAGTTCACTCCAGCAATACCTTTGAGAGATATTTGAATCCATATTTAGATTTTGAGAAATAAGAACAAAAAATCAGTAGCTGTCTAACTCTGCCAGGTTTAGTACTATGTACTGCTGTCTTAAAACATGATACAGAATGCCAAATTTTTATATCCAAAGATCCCCAAAACACAGGCAATGAAAGAAGAAATAAACAAATGAGATTGTATCAAACTAAAAAGCTTCTGCATAGAAAAGGAAACAATTAACAGAGTGAAAAGACAACCTACAGAATGGGAGAAAATATTTGCAAACTATGCATCCAACAAGGTATTAATATTTAGCACATACAAGGAACTCAAACAACAGTAAAAAAAATAATCCAATTTAAAAATGGGCAAAGAAACTGAACAGACATTTTTCAAGGGAAGACATTACACATTGTCAATAGATACATGAAAAAATGCTCATCATCACTAATTATCATGGAAATGCAAATCAAAACCACACTGGGATATCATCTCACCCCAAACAGACTGGCTATTATCAAAATCACAGAGAATGACAAATGCTGGCGAGGATGCGGAGAAAGGAGAACCTTTCTACACTGTTGGTGAGACTGTAAATTAGTACAGCCTTTATGGAAAACAGTATGGAGGCTCCTCAAACAATTACAGATAGAACTATTTATTATACAATCCAGCTATCCCACTACTGGGTGTATACCCAAAGGAACGGAAATCATCATTTCAAATAGAAACTTGCACTCCCACGTTTATCACAGCTCTATTTACAATTGCAAAGATATGAACTAAATGTTCATCCACCAACAATTGGACAAAGAAAATGTGCTATTTGTACACAATGGAATACTTCTCTGCTATACAAAAATAATGAAATTCTGCCATTTGCAGCAACATGGATGAACTTGGAGAAAATTATGTTAAGTGAAATGGGCCAGGCACAGAAAGAGAAATACTGCATGTCCTCACTCACAGGTGGGAGATTAAAAAAAAAAAAAAAAGAAAAAAGAAACACCAAATGCAATAATACGTTGAACTCTCAGAAGGAGAGAACAGAACTGTGGTTATGAGAAGGGGAAGAGGAGGAGGGGGAGGGTTAGGGAGAAATTGGTTAATGGATCCATTTCATAATGACTAATATGCCAACTATCCTAATTTGATCATCATGAATTGTACACGAATAATGATAGTCAACTTTGCACCCCACAAATATGTATAATCAATTATGTTTCAATAAAAACCTTAATATTCATTAAATTTAAGTATCCATTAGGGAAGACCACTGCACACTGCAAGTTAGTTGCCCATGGATAAATGTAATCTGCAATGGTCTTCACTGATAGAATATATCACTTAAAAGGATGGTTCATATTTTGGTAGCAGCTTCAACAAATAAAGAATCACAGAATTATAGATCATGAGAGATGTAAGGAACTAAGGAGAACATCTTGTCTAACTTCCTCATTTCACAGATGAGGAGTTACAAGGGTAGGCAATTTATCAAGTCAACTAATTAGTTAAGGGCAAAATTGAAGCTACAATCCAATTCTCTTAACTCACAGCCCCAAACTACATACAACTTTTAATTATTTGTGAGGAGTTTTGCCCTTACAACCTGGGGTCTTCCTCTATTTTGTCAGGGCTTGTGACCTGGCAGTGAAGATCAGCTAAGAGGAAGCTGGAGACAAAAAGAGAAATATCTATGCGCGTACATACAGGTCCCTCATAGTGCATTAAAGCAAACTATGTCTTTAAGTCTTCTGAATGACTCTTCCCCTCCCTTAGCATACACAGAAAATTCCTAGATAAATGAAACCAGAATTAAGCACCACTCAACAGATCCCTTTATTACCTTTTCTCCTGCTTAGGAGTATAAGATCAGTTCTTATCTTCCTGACAGCCAGCCAAGAGATGTGCATAAACAATTCTACAGTGTACATGTTATCAACAGCCCAGAAAACCTTCCAAAGGAGTTGCAAGCAGCAATTATCATTAGTTTACAAATCTCCCCTCCTTTATGACATCCCCAGGGAACCTCTCTGCAAACTTGCTGGCAAGCCTGCTTGCCATTTAAGAACTTGGCACAGCAAACCCAACCCTGCCCTCCAGAAAAAGGAAGTAACATGAGCAAACAAAAAATCACCCACTACAACACTCTGGTACTTACCCAGCTAAACAAATGGAGAAAATGGACTCGTATCAACCTGCTGGGGTTTAAGTAGATTTCTGTCAAGGCCACTTTGAGTCCAGAGATATATTTTAACATAACACCTTATTTAAATGTAGCCTTATTTTCTATCAGCATACATCATACATTGTGAAGAAATTAATGAATGAAACACTCTGAAAAATAAACCTACTGCTCAAATTCCATATGACAATTTATAGTTATGAACAGCAGTCAAATGATGTTAACAATTAAAACCATGTGAAACCACCTGCTTTAGAGTTATTCTTTTCAGTAACAATTCTATGCATCAACTCTAATATCTGCTCTTTCTGGTTACCAAAAATAAACGATCACTTCTGCATGTATCTGTGGTGTAAACATGCATAAGAATATGCACATGTTTATAACTCAAGAAAATAATGCTAAAATACAAATATATTTGGAACACGGCTTGTCTTAGTCCACTCAGGCTGCTATAACAGAATACCACAGACTAGGTGGCTTATAAACAGAAATTTATTTCTCACAGTTCTGGAGGCTGGGAAGTCCATGATCAAGATGCTGGCAGATTGGTGTCTTGTGAGGACCTGCTTCCTGGTTCACAGACTGCCATCTTCTCACTAAGTCCTCATATGGCAGAAGGGACAATGAAGCTCTCTGGGGTCTTTTATAAGGGCATGAATCCCATTCATGAGGGATCTGCCCTAATGAACTAATCACCAACCAAAAGCCCCACCTCCAAATACCATCACATTGGGGGTTAGAATTTCAATATATAAATTTGGGAGTTATACAAACATTCAGTCTATAGCATACCACCACTGACCTCCCAAAATTCATGTCTTTCTCACATGCAAAACACATTTATTACATTATAACAGTCCCAAAAGTCTTTTTTTTTTTTCCTTTTTCTTTTTGGCAGCAGGCTGATACAGAGATAGAATCCTGAACCTTGGTGTTATCAGCACCATGCTCTAACCAACTGAGCTAATCAGGCAGCCTAGCCCCAAGTCTTAACTCATTCCAGCATCAGTTCTAAAGTCTGAAGTCCAAAGTCTCATCTAAATATCATCTAAATCAGATATCAGTGAGAATCAAAGTATGATTCATCCTGAAGCAAATTGCTCTCCAGTTGTGAACCTATGAATCCAAATGAGCTACGTGCTTCCAAAATACAACAGTGGGACAGGCATAGCATAGACTTTTCCTTCCAAACGGGAGAAAGAAGCAAGGGGATTCCCACATTAAGTTCAAACTACTAGGCAAACTCCATGAGACATTAAGTCTTGAGAATAATCTTCTTCAGCCCAATGCTCTGCCCTCCAGACCCACAGGGGTAAGGGTCCCTCCTTCCAGACCAACTGAAGTGGCAGCCCTGCCCCTGCAGCTTTGCCAGGTAGGGGTTGGGCCCCCAAAACTCTGAGTGGCCCTGTACCCACAGCTTTATACAGAGGCCATCTAGCCCACTGAAAGCAAGGTGATGGTCCCCTGCTTTTCAAACTGAGGAGGCAGCTTCGATGATCTCTGAACTGCCTTCGCGATCATTCTTCCCTTGTCTTAAAGAATAGGGTACATTCACAGTTGAATAGGTCTATAGTTCTGTCCTGTTAAATCCAAGAGGTTCAACAGCCTTCCTTCATTCCTTCCCATCTCCTTCCTCTTCAGTTCAAACTGGTAGTTTTCCTGCTGGGATGGAAGTCCACAGTTCACATCCATACCAATCTGTTTATCATATGGTCACTTGGCAACATCCCCAGTGTTCTCAATTTTTGCAATGAGACAGACTGAGAATTTTTCTGAATCTTTAAGTCCTGATTCCATTTTGCTAAACAATTCTGTCTTTAAGTCATCTCTCTCTTCTTGCATTTTACCATCAGTGGTTAGGAGGAACCATGCCACAACTTCAACACTTTG